GAAAAAAAGGACGCCGGTGGTATAAATAAAGTAGCTCCGTACGACTCACAAAGATGGGAAGTATCGTCGTCGGAGTGTCGTGCGGAACGTAGGCGACTTCGTACCAGGATTATCAGTCTAGACATCGGTCCTCGGGAGAAAAATGATCCTAGGGAAAACGGGAGTAATTGAAACTCTACGGTCTAACCTCAAAACGATCGCATTACGATAATCTCAGTCTTTGTGACTACGAGCCTACGCGTTAGTTCTATCTTGCGTCGCCATATGCATTCTAAGGACAGGTTAGACAGTACTACGTTAGTCAAGACCCGTTCCTTGACTGCTCGAGTCAATATTTGTCTTATATATATATTTTTTTCTATAGTTATTCTTCGGTGTATTCATTATCGCGTTCTTATGCAGTGTCCATGTCATGTTGTCGATAGCGGTAATTTTTTTTCCGTTGTATATATGCATATATACATATTTAACTATTCACATACATTTCTCGCAAGTTTTATTGAAATTAAGGCAATTAGTCGTGCTCACTGGAACACTTGGCTGTCCTTTCTCCAATATTCTTATTTTCTTTTGGATCCTCTTTTTTTTTCAGCTACCTCTTTCCTCGTCTCCCACCTCGTCATCACGAATCTTCTTCGTCTTCTTTGTTCTTGCCGTTCTCCCGAAACGATCTTCCGCTTTCTAAGTGTTCGACCACGGGCCAAGAGCGTCTTGTCCGCGAACGAGCAACAATACACAGCGCCTAATCGCTTTTTGCGTTTCTCCAGAATGACAATTACGAGACACCGTATCGCGACAAGAGGCGTCCCGGTGCCACGAAATCAACTTGCACCGAGACACGTCCCCGGACTTTCTAAGGAAGTCGGTCGAAAGGGTGGTGGCAGAGGGGAAGAATTATTTCTTTTGAGCGTTTAAAAAATGAGGCAAAAAATCTTAACTTAACATTCGAATGCTTGTGAGGTGTTTTCTTTTTTTTTTTTTTTCATTTTCTTTTTACACAAGAAGAACCCAATTCCTTGACCTGCGATCGGTCAGGCCGAGTTCACCTCTTACTTCTCTTGGCATCTTAGACTGCTAATGATAGTCATAATGCTAATAATACGTTTTCTCTAGAAAAACCACTGAGCAATTCACGAGCGGGTCGTTAGAGAAATACTTCGTTCGGTAGCGCAAAACTTAATACTCATTTCGTGCCTATCAATTATTTAAGGTTATACATGGAACTTTGAGAAAGTTACAGTGAAGACTCGTTATACTTAGTGTGGAATAAATAGGTGTATTACGTACATGCTGGATTCTTATAGTATATGTATAAATATATACGCAACAGGATGATGATGGGACCCGAGTCAATATTTTTATTGACATTAATTTCATTTTCAATAATTTCTTTTCTTTTTACTTTCGATGTGAAACCGTCGAAGTCTAAAATGAAAAGTATCAGAGCGTTGTGAGGTACGATGCAAAATATATATATTAAGTTTCGAATATATGTCGCTCGTTTGAATTTCGTTGTACCGTTACATTACGAATATGACGGGTTAGGCAACGAATGAGATCACAAGATCTTGATTGAGAAACACAGGGAAACGATCTACGATCCGTGGGATGTCGATCATTCTTTATCGATTACGTAGAACGATCTTTGCATTATATCATTCGAGACCACTCCCCTCTTCTCGAGAATAATTATTGCGCTGGTCATAGAAAGGATCCATCGTGTTCCTTTCGTATTTTTTATTAACGATATTATTCATCGCCATTGTTATGCAATATTATATTTTTTGACTTTCTAGGTATTATTGATCTGCCCGAGTTGGTCGTTTTTGCTTTTTAATATTATGTCTCTTCTACTGTGACGAATTGGTATAAATGCTCCTTTGTCGAAATAGTCCTACCAACGGTATTTCTCATTGAAGAAGTTCACAACATGGCGGATACAATTCGGGGATACGTCATGACGTTAGCTTTGGTCCGATGCGTAACTTAATGATATACCGGAGATTTGAGGTTGGAAATTTTACGTTTCGTTTTTTTCTTATATTTCATTAGACTACCGAATGCTTAAATGGCAATGGGTACTTTTGTTATATTCAATTATTTTAAAGGAGCGTTACTTACGTATACGTGTATACGAGTGTGTCATGTGGTTGCTTGCACTGAACTCGTTCTTGAATATTTATATTTAAATTTTCACTCTCGGATTTATACGGAATTACGGTGACCTCGCTTAATGACAAATGCCTGTCTTTTTTTACTTTTCATACCTTCAATCGCCTTTACGCACGTCTGACGTAATTGCCCGAGGATAAGAAACATAACTTGGAGATGGATTAATCGAATTGTGCTAATGCTTATTTCATAAGTCCTTAGCTATTCACTTAAATGAAAACTGTATAAATTTTTTGATTTTCAGATCGGTCAAGTTGCCTGATGTGGTAGGAGGTGTCTTTAAAGACATTGAAAACTTGACGCCAGTACTAGGGACTGTCATCGTGAAGAAGACGAGGAAGGATAAAGAGAAGTAAAAAAAGAAGAAGAAAAAATTAAAGCAACCAGATCGCTGGTCGTCGCCATAGTGATCCTCTAGGTATCCGCTGTAAAATGGCCAGACAACAGACCAGCGATCGTAACATACCCCATCTCCGTGACATCTTCGGGTTTGGTAACAAATGGGAGAACGTGCGTAGCCCAGTCGAAGAAAAGGCACCGGAACACGACAGTGCTATCTCGGTTGGCTCGACATCCGGCGAGGAGGAGAGTCCGAAAAACAGCAAGAAGAAAAAGTCACGTCGTCGCGACAACAACAAGACATTAACCGAAAGTGACGTGAAACATCTAGAGCGCCATCTCTCGATGAAAAAGACAATCAGGAAGAAAATAATGCGGGATCTTCAACAAGCATTCGTCGAGGATCCCAATGAGTTTCGTGTAGATGATATACCACCAGAACAGCTGAAGGCTGAGATCCAAAGTCTTAGCTTTGGTACCCCTTCGCAGAAACAAGGTCGCACGCGTGGAAACGCCGAGAGTAATTTCTTGGATATGCTGCGAGCTGGTGGTGGTAAGAATATTTATATATATTGAGTAGAAGAAAAATAATGTAATAAATTAAAACAAATTAAATATAAATATTCAGGTCTCGAGAAAGGCGGTGCCGATGGTGATAGGGATTCTGGACATGGTGGATCACCTACGAGAGAACCAGCCAGTGCACAGGATACGGATGACGAGTCTACCTACCCCTATGATACTCCGGCAGCGACACCTTCGAAGAAGGGTGGTAACTTTTGGAGACGCTTTACCATGAAGAATCGCAATAAGCGGTAAATTGACTCTCGTTAATCAACCAGTGTGAAAGAACATCCGAGATACGATAAGAGGGGTATAGAGATTATAGGGTGAAATCTTGAGAAAGATAATAACGTAACGCGTAAAGTATCAGCATTTATTCCTTCTTTACTACACTACCGACGTAGCTTATGAGCAGAGCTTGCAACTGTGATATACATAAAAAAAAATTGATGAAATTTCCCCTAGATATCTTCGTACACTGTTCACCGTAATACGAAAATCAATTCCGAGTGGCACGTCATTCTACATATTATATATATACCTATATACATATATTCTGTACGTAGTAATTTACAAAAAAAAAGAAACGACCAATTTTTCACTCGCTCTGCTATACAAAATATTGTACGAATATACCGTTCACTTAGTACAGTTTAATAGAGACTCCTTAGTCTATTTTAGTTAATTGTCAAAGTGCAATTTATAATCAAGACTATGCTGTACCTAGTAAGTTCTTCTATTCTTATATATGATGTAATGTATACAACAAACATTTTATACCACTTTTTTTCCAATTTTCCTAAAGGATACAATTTAATATGAATTTTTTTTACAAATTTTTAATTTTTTGTACGATCATTCGAATATTCAGTAGTGTTACGTGCCACTCGGTAGATCAATGTCGGCTGTCAACCTTCTTCAAGAGACTCGGATTTATTCGTAATACTTAATATCAGCGTGGAGCGCACTTTCTCGCGCGTACTTAATTACTAATTAAGCGAATTTAATGAATACGGACAGTGCAGCGAGGGCAGACCCTGTAGAGTCTGTCTCTCTTAGAGCTTAAGGGTAGCTAGTTCGAATTTTCTTAAGTTTAATGTTAACTACTTTTCTCCTGACCTATACCCCCCCTCCGATTGTGCTTTCATCTTATCCTTTTTTTAAATTAATTATTAAGGCGATACAGAGGAAAGTTGTATCGACACGAAAATTGTCTAAAATGTATATGTAGCTGTAATAACGTGACATCCTCCAGGTCTACTTATATTTTTACGTACTTCATTAGTATTAGCTAGTCAACGTAATTAAACGCGTCCGGAGCTACGGGCGATACGTCACCTGGTATCAATTGTAATTTCGACCAGTTAAATCCAACCAAATGTCGATCCTGTTTGGTGTATCAAGTGGGACGCCAGAGGAAGTAAAGAAATCGAAAGTTATATATATACATATATATGTATATAAAAAAAAAAGAAATGATGGACAATCATGGGATTGGCGCGCGAAAACCTGCTGATTACTTATAGGAGATTTTCTATCGATGCATGATTTCTCTTTTTTTTTAAATTATATTATTGCGCAAGTCAATTTGAGATGTTTCTTGGTTTCTTTTTTTCCCTGAAGCTACACGCATCTCATGGCTATTAGTCTCACTGAGACATTATCGTTCCTACTTTTAAAATGCATCTCACTAATTCTATATACAATTTAAATGTTTTTGTATTGTAATGATCCCCTTTGCGTTTACGTCAATTGCGCTGATTTGTTTAGGTTTTGATTTTAAATCTTATTGCGATCATGTGGATTACCATTTCATATCGTTAATCGCTATGCTATTTTACATTAAGTGTATCATATACGAAATCTCCCCCATGTGTAAAGGCAGTAATATCTTATAATAAAAGAGTCCCTTGGACAAGCTGGGATTACTATTTCTAACCTTACTTTTAATTAAGACACTTAACACATTAAGGTCAACTGCTATAATTCAGACATTAAGTATAACGTGTATAAAAAATATTTTGTTTCTCATAAAAACAAAACTTTGTATAGACCATTTTGATTTTTTCTGCTGTACTCCTCCGTGGCTTTTCATTTTATTGGTTTGTGAATTTTGGTGGACGCTTCTCCGCGAAAGCCGTCATACCTTCCTTCCTGTCGGACTGTAAAGAAAATATTTGTTTTCGAAATTAGCTAAAATGACAAAAGAAGTTGAAAAGTTAACGAAAAATATACCGTGGCAAATGTTCCGTGGAATGAACGCCTCTCGAAGTGCAAACCTTCACTGAGTGTGGTTTCATAAGCTGCAAACAAAAAAAATTAATTACTTATCATGTCAATTAATTATCATTAGTTATTGTCTGTTCGCAAATATTTCGCACATTGGATACACCAGGATTAAGAGAACAGAATGAATTACCTGTATTCACAGCCTCCTTAGCCATGCCAACGATCAGCTGAGAATGAGAAGCTATCTTCTCTCCAAGTTTAATGGCTTCTGGTACAACCTGATCCGCCGGAAATACTTTACTCACGAGACCTAACCAAGAATTTTTTTCTCAATAAACGGAAATGGATTGAGTGGATGGAATGATCGTATTTATCACCGTGAACCACAAATTGCATTTGAATCTATTGCTCTTTGCATTACTTACCACTTTTTTCAGCTTCCTCTGCTGTTATTTGATTTCCCGTTAATACAAGCTCCATTGCTTTACTCTTGCCTACTGCTCTGGTCAGTCTCTGAGTACCACCTGCACCAGGTATCGTACCAAGGGCGATTTCTGGTTGGCCGAATTTCGCTTTGTCACCAGCATAAATAATGTCACACATCATAGCCAGCTCGCAGCCGCCACCCAGCTGAAACATCAAAATCATTCTTGAAATTTTATATCAATACGCTTTAGTTGGATAATCATTTAATCAATAATGGCTCATACGGCGTAGCCGTTGACTGCAGCAATTATTGGCTTCCTGGCTCTGCTGACACCATCCCAATAGGCCAGAAAATTTTCACCAATGCACTGTGCATAACTTGTGTTTACCATCTCCTTGATATCAGCACCTGCAATACATATATTTGTATTTCAATCCTTCCCTTATGCCTTTGATAATTTTTAGTCTATTTACCAGCTGCGAAAGCTCTTTCACTTCCAGTGATGACGACGGCTCCAATACTTTCATTGGCATCGAACTTAGAAATGGCATCATTTATCTCAACCATCAATTTGTCGCAAAGAGCGTTCAGAGCCTTCGGTCTATTTAGAGTAATTAGGCCGACATTCTTCTTTTCTCCCACCGGCTCAATCTTTATGTGTTCATAGTTCGGCGTTTGGCCTAAAAAAATAAAATCATCAGATTTCAATGTATTACCTTGATAAATTTTGCTATCGCAAATTTTGAATTGGTATTTGTGATAGTCATATTATCGTGATGTTTTCGATGTGCTAAGTAAACAAGGGCATAATACATAAGCGAGGAATATTATATGAGAACTGTCGGTATGGTTGATTACGTAAGTCGTTACTGAAATTAATCATACAGATCATCATTAATTTTCGTTAACGCAATCACCGTGAAGTAAGAATTTGCACAAAAAAAAAAAATTTTCGTACCAGCATACAAATATTATTATTATATATTTATCACGTTACATTTGATCGATTGCCATGAAATATGGGGAACCGATTCAATTACAATTCTTTACATGGCGTATAATGATATTTTCTTATAGTGAACAACACGAGGTCAATAATTATTATTCGATACATGACTCGATGGATGGGATAGATTATTGACCCGCCATTATACGAGTCACCGTTTTATACGCTTAGAAGGTCTAAATAAAAAAATCGAGCAAATTCCATACGGTTTGTACGGAATATTTTTTTTATTCTCAAATCGTCGTTTTTCATATAATAAAAGAAGTACTACTGCAATCTTCTTTTTCTCTATTAATCGTTTATTTCCATGGAAAAAAGATAAAAGAATCACGCATGTCTTTAAAACACGAAAATATTTGCCTCGAGTAAGATAGTCGTCGCACCACAAAAAAAAACAAGAAACCGGTATTTGTACTCACTGGAATAGAATTTGATGATTGGACCTATTTGTCGTGTATTTCTGAGACTTTGTGTTCCACGATTGAACAAGAGACGAGCAACTGTCGTAGCTGCCATGATGCCGTTCTTCACGAAAATAGACCAAACGTTAACTATCTACTAAAAGGCAGCAACCTTTAATCAGTAATCAAATGACTTCTTACGAATTGACTGTCTCCAGCTGATAACAATATGGTCAGTAGCGCCACCGTGAGCAACTGATGCAATTATGAAAACGAAAGTCATCTTACTGAAAATGAGAGTATTATAATTTTAATTTTCTCCAGTTACCATATAACATAGACTTATCATATGTAATGATCACATGCTCGATCGGTAATATATATTCAGGAGTCTACATTATCGACTGTCAATACATTTTAAAATAACTGAATTGTCTATACATATTTAAATAAACTTCATCAAATTCATAAATATCAATAGATACTAATTAATCTACACATTACTGCTAATACTGATATTCGTACTAGCATCCCCCCCTCCCAAATCCATACAAGTAATTAATCTATTCATACTATTAGTTATACTTTATTAGTTACCATCTCAAGTGCAACTACTCATCCGAATGAGCAGTGCAAAGAAACAAACATGAATATCCATCATCTTCATAATTTTCATTGCAGTCCATCGCTCTACCTACATTGCGTCTCCGGGTAATAAATGAAGGTAAACGACGCTTTGTCGTAATAATGAATTGTTTTAATAACGATGAAAATTATGTACATATTTACAGGTACACAAGTGTACGACGTGCACGAGAATCTTATAATTACAGTTATCTGAAGCGAACGATAAAACGTACATACGAATAATACGTGTCGTTCTCATGTTGGAGAGAAAAAAGGAAAACAAATGATAAAGTTAATACCAAAAATATCATCGGAAATATTCGAATGCCATAATCTTATTAATATTGATAAAAATAAGTATTTTACTCGTCATATATTTGAATCTCCATCGAGCTCTTAACACGGCATCTCTTCAAGTGAGCGACACTAACTGCAAGGCCTGCCAACTAACACTCATATAAACGTATCTTAAAAAATCTTTCTATAGTATGTATATAGATACGTACATAGATAAGCAAGTAATTATCGGATCGCTGACCGTTTCGATGTAATTACAAAATATATTATCTATACGTATTATATATAATATATACTGTATATATTATATATATTTATAGGTACGCATTGTATTCTGTATAGTAAAAAGGGAATCCTAAAGGACATAGACACAACAGTTTGTAACGCGTCGCTCTAGTTTCACGTCGCACGGCAAATAGCCATCGTCGTCTTGATAAGAATCTCACAGATATCCGGTTGAAATCGTGTCGTGCAATTCAGTCTGATTTTTTTCTTGTATTAGCGTGCGGATATGTTAATCTTTCATCTCAAATAGATTCTTCTTCCGCGATCAATCTTTCTGCGTGTTGTTGACAATCGAAGTGGGCAAACTTAACAGATAATTTTGCCGCGCGACATTATCGGCGATTCTTGTCGAGGAAGAATGAAATTCGGAGAAGTTAATAATGAAGTGATACGAGGTTACTGATATCGATCAATAAAAACCGGGCACAATTCCATATAATTACGTATGTAAGTCTCGTTCTACGTTTCGACGCTGGGAACGCGTAATTATTATATAATATACATATATATGTGTATATACAGGGTGTCCCAAAATTACCTGACCAACGGGGTATGGCGGTGTTCGAGAGGCACCACTGATCACGAAAATGACCTTCCTTTTGTCCGGAAGGTCATAGTTTTTAAATGGGAGCAGGTCAAAGTTGACCAATCAGAACGAGGCGTCAAGAGAAACGTAGGCATCTACGAACTCTGAGTTTTCTTCTCTCGCTTTTCTTTCTCGGTAGCTTGTTTCTTGTTTCCCATAGGCATGTCTTCGGCTGACGTCATCCTGCCCGAAGCTACCGAGAAACAAAACCGAGGGAAGAAAACTCAGAGTTCGCAGGTGCTACGTTTCTCTTGACGCCTTCCTCTGATTGGTCAACTTTGACCTGCTCCCATTTAAAAACTATGACCTTCCGGACAAAAGGAAGGTCATTTTCGTGATCAGTGGTGCCTCTCGAACACCGCCATACCCCGTTGGTCAGGTAATTTTGGGACACCCTGTATATTATATATACATATATTATATATAGCATTCGCTAGAATCGAAGGAGGAACACGATTATTGATATTAAAAGGAAAAAGAGTAAAACGAAGTGATTTCAGCGTATATGGAAGTATGTTTACTAGGAGAAGATAGACAAAGTAAAATGGTTGAATCTTGTTGATATTGAATAATTACATAATGTATGCGTCATTGATATAAAGGCTGTCCTTGATTCAGACATTAAAATATACTTCCCCGTTGATGGATGCTAGCGACTCGGAAGTCCCGTGAAAATAATAAACAAACCGAGGTTCAAACCGGCGTTGACAGATCCTCTAGCGTTCAATCTACTACTGCGATCGTTTTTTACACGTAATAAATTAGCGGACGGGCGCCACCATCGCTCAGACCAATCAGCGTCGAGTTAACGTGGCGCGTCGTGGGCGGGAAAATTTAAATCTTAATTGCGCAATGATATTGATATACACGTACAGGGACGCTTCGTAGCTCGTGTTCTTGCACGAGAATAACAATAAGGACAACGACAACGAGCATGACGACTTACGATATTGATGAGTGACGAGAATCATGACAACTATGTTCTTTACTAGGACCGGAAAGTAATCGATTCGTCGAACAATAAGGACCGGGGCCCTCTCCCCTGGTATGCAGCCGATAGTAGAAATATATAAATATTATAATACCTGTCGTGCGTCGCGCAGTTGTCGAGGACACTCGCGATAAAAAAGAAATATTGATAACAATGACGATAATAATAATAACAACAATAATGCTAACATTAAGTAGGAAACACGGCATTTCACACACGCGTAAGAACCCTTATACTCTATGGAAACATACCGGACGTCCATCCGAAAATGTACACTTACTTACGAATAGTTTAGCGCCAATACACGACTTACCAGTTAATATGTCCGATACAATAAAAACGATGTCTTACGTGATCGGTAAGAATTAGGAAGCGACGTGAAAGTAAAGAAAAAAAAAATATATTAAAAATGAGAAAAAAACGTGTTAAAAAGTAATTATTATCGCGTGACAAATAACATAACCAGTATCAAAATGGACGCTGAGCTTGTCCTTGCGATGCAATATCCGCCACCTGAAACAAACACCGTTGACAAATATTGAACGTAACTGAAAATCAATATGAATTTATTGTATAATGCATTGAAAGGATGCGTGATCAGGTCACGCATCCTGTTAATACTTTAACGGCTTCTTGACGTGAGCCTGGCTAACGCTTTGTAGCTTGCTATTGATTGTTTTGCGTATACCGGAAATGAATGCCCGTTAGCTCCGGGGAACAAGAGAAAACCATAAATAAAATAATAAATCAATTAGGGATACTCACCATTTGGCATATCGTTTCTCGTGTGGCTCTGCGCCCTGGTCTCACGACTTTCCATAACTGGCGCCTTTAGGAGTCTCTCGTCGCCCTCGACGCTTTCCTCGTTGCTCTGAAGATAAACCGTCGCTATTGTCGCGAGACACTTGAGCTTCATGTCGCCGCGTTTGAAATGCTTGGTCTTCACGCGAAACTCAAGACCCAGCTGTGCAGTCTCAAGGCCATTTTCATCCACGTCCGTAATGTGAGGTCCTTTCAGATACTGAGGATCAGCCTGAAATCATTGAAGTAATATATATATATATATTGAAATAATAACATTACCTAACCTATATAGTGATTGGCTAGCATCAATCACTATGGGTATTCATTAGGTGTACGTGAGGTAGACGATGATTGTTATTTACAAAGAACACATAGTGACACGTACCGGTTCGCTATTGATGAACCAGTTCAAAAGGGCAGCAGGTTTTGAGCGGGCTGAGGTACAATTCAAACGGACAATATCGCCGATCTGATATTTCGATCGACCACCGGTTATTCGTGGTCCTTTATCCGGCAATACTGTAATTTCATGTTTTCGAATTATTCACTATTACATCATAATAAGAAATTATACATGGCAACGCGTGTGACGTGTATCCAGTCTAATGGTCTATTACAGGAGTCAGTGACTCACCGACTACCATCATGTCAGCGTGATCTGAAACTGTCTGGAATGCCGGGGCTTCCGTGGAAACTTCACAACGGTATCTTCCTGAGCTGCTGAGGTCAACATTGTTGAGGACGACTGATCTATTTGTAGATTCGCGCGTCTGCAACATACCGATTAAATAAAATAAATAAAAATAATATAAAATCATTAAAATCGATTTCCTACCACAGACACTTATATGAGTGTTGACGTATTCGGTAAGAGTTACGTCATCTCCAGATTCCGATTTCATAGATAAAATCATAAAAAGTCCAGACACGCATTCTTATTCCGACAGCTAATACAGAGTAAAACAAGAAATAAAAAGGGAAAAGTAATGATTGCAACTTACTATGTACTTTTACGGTATTTACGGTAAGGTAAAGTGGGTGAGGGTTGCGGGCCGGGAAGAAGCTAACGGGGTTGGATGAGTGGGGCAATAGTCATTGCCAGAAGAAAAATGAAAATAGGAGAAGAAGCAGAAGAGCAAGGAAATGGCATTTTAATTTCTTCCACGAAAGCTTCATACTTGATTCTACTTTTTGTTCCCATTTCCTTTCCACTCATTCCTTTCATACTTTCGTTATTACCGATCCAAAACGTTAGAAACGCACTTACGTCGACAACCACGCCAGCCACTGGAAAAACTTGAACGGACGGCACATCCCTCGGTAGGTAACGATAAAATTCATTTCCGTCCTTGTACCATTTTACCGAGTAGAGAAGTTTGCGGTCCAAGTTGAAGTTGCACTCAAGCTTCACCGTCTGATTGAAAACGACGTGTTGGGGTATCTGTAGTGGGGTCATTTGCAGTGCTCCCATTCCTGACAAAAAAAAAGATTGGATTATATAGAGTATGATCATTAATAATTTATGAACCCTTATTTATCATTATTGTTGAACAAGAAATATTGACCATAGCGTGCTTCTATATGTATGTACATACATTAAGTAAGTAATTTTATCAAGTTGTTTTATTTATAACTATTTTAATTATATTTGACGGTATTGTGAGTGACATTAACGTTACTAGTTTTTTTTTCTCTTCTATGGTTCAGGTGGTACGACTGTTACTCGTTGACTAGCAGTCACTATGCAGAGGACTAAAGCGAGGCAGACGAGATGGTCGCTATGGTACACAGCCATAAATATCTGGCTTAGCGAGAGCTTGCAAACATAGCATAGAGCAGAGACAGAGAGAGGGTTGAGTGCGGGGGAGGGTGAGGGAGGGGCAGAGGGGGTAGAAGGAGGGAGGGAGAAAGACAGAGAGGAGTCCCAATGTGACTCGATTCAATTAGAGGCAATTGAGGAGCGGCTTAAGGGCAACGAAGCCCGCACGCCTTGGACGACTACTTTATTTGAAATTAAGCCAATTATAAGGTTCATAGAGAGAACTAAAAACGATTCATGGTTTCGCAAACGTCCCGCGGTTTAGCAAGGGCGTGTCCTGGAGGTGAAAGCCCCGTCAGGGTGTGCCATCTCGATCTTCGAGGGCTTCCCTTCTCTGGACAGGACTACCAGATGATAATATAAGATCGCCTCATTGAAAATTGATATGAGACCACGAGGGAGTTTATAACGATCGTTAGGGATAATTATGACTCACCATATTACTGTGTAAGAAGAAATAAGACATGCTGGATAAAACTCTTCTATGGAAATTACCGAGGAAAACAAGATCAAAGTACGACATTTGAAACGGGAGCTGGTGGTTGAAAGAAACGTTTAAAAGAGCTACAGGTTAGGTGGGATTAAGAAAGGGAGAGAGTGAAAGAAAAGAAAAAGGGGAAAGAAAAAGTTGAGAAAGAGAGAATCGAAGAACCTGGAATGAAGAGCAGAAGGGCCACGTCGAAGAGTCTCCGCCACATCCTCAAGAGTTTTCGTCCGGGTCTTCGTGTTCCGCTTTTTCGCGCGAACTCATTAATACAATTGTCTCACAGGATATCCATATAAACAAAAAGGACTAAATAAGAGAGATGGAGAGAAAGATAGGGAGAGATAGTAGTCAGAAGACAAAGAAACCGAGACAGAACTGGAGCCTCCGATACAGTCTGAACGATCGAGTGAAAGAGAAACGGTTTTAGAGGTTAGAAATGGGATTAACGATTAACCAACTTATAAAAGGCTGAACACTATTTACACGATAAATCCGCGCACGAGGTTCACGATGTAAAGGATGACAACGACGTGGACGATGTACACGAACAAATTGTCGACGGCGGCGAATCGTCGTGTCCGGGACGGTTTACAAGAATATTTGAATGGTTTCTGACAGATTTAAACACTGTAAGTTCTGAACGACTAGAGTCTCGTGGTTCAGAGATTGCTCACCAAGGAAACACGCATATTTCGAAAGTTCGCCTTTTCGGCTAATTAAAAATCTTTATAACCGCGTTACGAGGGTTTCTACCCTTAACGGAAACCCGTCGGTACTGCGGCAGGATCGCCCCACCCCCCATGAACTCCACGAGTCGGAAAGTGGGAGGCGGGAGGGGGGACGTAGATGCCGGTAGTAGTGGGGATGGGAATGCCAATTGGAATGGGAATAGCGTTGGGTTTGTGCGTCGGAGTGGCGAGGCGTCTGCGCCGCTGGCCAAGTCAATGATCGCACACGCCGTTGCAAAATCTTCTATCGTAACGCGCCGACGCTAGCGGACGCTGCCGCGAATCTGCAAGGCATGATCGTCGATTGCCGACGGAACGCGAATTCGATGCAAAAGCGTCGTGGCGCTTCCCTATTTCTCGACTGTCGCGCGAGTTACCCCTGTATCCAGGTAGATAAGAAGGTTTCACGTCGATACCACTTCTCGCCACTTCGACTATACTTATTCCCGTATTCGTAACTTTTACCATTATCATTGCACGGGCTTCCATATTTTCAAAACGCTATGCAAATATTTCTCCTTTAACTCTTCAATCTGATATAACGTCACGACCATCTGTGCATCTGAATTTCTCGCTCGATTATATTCCCAATAATCATTAATCTGTCTCCTGATTTACTTTATAGCATCAATCTCATTATCTAACCGACTCGATCTCCACGTCCTAGATTTCCGTATTATTAAAAAAATTTAACTACATTTTCTCCAATTACTACTACTTGACTGTAATGCAGGGTTGACTGGGTTATTCCATCCACGTGTAATATGAACACTGGAATCTTCTTTTGTAACACATACGTCACTCCGTATAACCGCAAACATAGACACATGTGTCTTAATAGCGAATACAGGTATCTCGGACAAGCAGTCCAAGAGAAACAGAGAGAGATACAATAAACTAACAATAATACCCAAAGAGCTTAAGAGAGTGAAAAAAAGTCTAGAATTTTTCTGACAGCGTAAAAAACAAGAAGGGAATGTACATCGCTCTTAATTCGACAAATGGAAGACGAAAAGTCTCACGACACGGTATAGAATCGTCCAGACCCTTGCGGATTCGTTCCAATTAATGAATGTTAATTAACGTTTTAAACGAAGGAGACAAAATTAAAGAGGAACCATATTTGAGAAACGTCCCAGTCGTTTGGTAACCGAGTCCTCCTGGCACAGTTTTCCGTGTCTCCTGAGAGGTTTCCTTGGGAATGAAAACGTCGTGGAAAGGGTAGGGAATGACAGGGAAGGGGAAAGGCAAAAGAAAAGGGATGAAGAAAAAGAAAAGAAAAAAGCTTCGTTGTTGGGAGGGGGGGGGATGGTGGTGCGATCCTACGACACGACCAAATCCTTTCTTCCATCCCCTCGTTCCTTTGTTCTTCCTTTATTTCGTTGTGTCGTTGTTTCTTTTCATTTCTTTTTTTACTCCCCCCCCTTCCTCCCTCTCGCGCCTTCTCACTTTATCTCATTCTTTCCTCTGGACCACCGCACTCCTCACTTTCCTCCTCTCCTTTCACCCTCTCTTTCTTGCCAGGGGCTGCTCGGAAACGTAGGTGCTCAATGTCGGTCCGGAAAGCAAGTGAAGGTTCAATTCCACTGGGAGGTATCCGGTTCCTTTTGAGATTATCCATTGCGGTGTGGTTACTTAGACAGTGTGGGTAGAGAAGTTTGAGAGAGAGGGGATGAGCTGATATACAGTATTACCCTTATAGGGGAGAACGAGAGTGAGGGAGAAAGGAAATTCTGGCAAGTAAGGGTGAGTCCGCTCGTGATTTTCGATCGGCTAGCGGTGTTAGCTGTCGAGGTTTAAGTGAATGACCGCAAGAAGTAATGAACGAATGACCTACTGGTGGGTGGGAGGGAGAGTGGGGGGGGGGAGTAGAGGGTTAAAGCACCCAGTCCGCCCTACTTCTTCGAGAGGGCGATACGAACCAGGAGGAAGAAGAGGGATGAAAATTACGTTGTGTACTGTAATTGACACGGAACCCTGCGGGTAAAATGAACAAATCATGTACGGGTCATGAACTCATTATGAGGATGATTTGGAGTAAATCCAGAATGAGTGACGTTTATGAAAAGTCAATACCGGAGCGGGCCGAAAAGAGAGAAGTACAAAAAAGGGGGTAGCGAAACTGATTGTCCGGGTAGAGTTGATGGACTGCTAGGGTGAAAGATCGACATCGTCATCAGCGGCCGGGAACCTGGGTTAAAATTGACAGGATCGACGAGCGTCGGTATCGTAGACGCCAGACGTCGTCTATACCCATACAAGTCTATAGAGTCAAGTAAGAGCCGCGCACTCCTCTAATGGCTCTCCAGAAGTAATTGGGATACCAGTTGCACGCGTCAGGATGAATTTTATTCCCCGGGGCGCAGCACAACACAGCCCCGTGCGTAGTTACGGGGAGGATTCACGGTGACCGACGGCGGATCCAACCTCAGGCGCATGCGCCTATTTATTAGCGCGAACGAAAATCGATATACGACCTCTCCCTCGCACGCTTATTTGATATTTCTTTCGGCCACGTCTTTCATGCACACCCCCATAAGTTATCCAGGTTTGGTAGGCCTTCGTCTCCTCTACCTCCACTGATCCCCATACTCTTCCACGGCCACCTCCCTCCTCCTCGACAACCTTCCTTTGGGGAATTGAACCGGTGAATATTCTTTTTATGTGGATTTATGGCATCGAATCCCAGCACACTGACCAACCGATATAGTATAGCATCTCCCCCACTCGTTCCTCCCTATAATATATATATATATCTTCGAAGACTGTCTGCCTACCAACGGGCCTATCCACTAGCGGCTACCCTTGAATCTCGGGGATGGGCCTCTTCTATCTGCCTATAGTCTAATAAACCGAAAACCTCGATGAAAGCTCAGACACACGTAAATCTCAGCCAGGGCAAAGTTCAAGGGACGCGGAACGGTTCATCCGTAAGGAGTTCGACTAAGAGCCACGTGTTCCAGTGTAAGCTCCTGTTTGGAATCCAGAAGGACGATGCCATGGAAAGTTCAGTTGGGGGAGCTACGAGGGCCCAGGTGCCTTTTCCACGTTCCACTTCGTATTCCCTCAGCTTGACTCTTCGTCCGTTCTCTTCGGTGTCCCCCTCCACTCCCCCTTGCTATCGTTATCCGTGACTCCTTTCAAATCCAAAGACGCTCCCGTGTGACCTCTCGAGTATAATTCTTCGGGAATTCACCAACCGGAAGCTTGACAGTTGCTACGAAAAATTCCATGTGCTTGATTGACGTTACTTTTTTACAAATGTTCTTCTGCTACCACCAGCCCCTTGCCCCTCGACCGGGATCCACCATTACCCTATACGTGTCCTTCAACGTCCTCTTTTCTTTTCTTTTGTCCAGAGCGCCGGCAGAGAGCCATCTTTTCACAATGACTTCCATCCCCGAGAGTTGTCAGAGTGCGAGGGGTGGGACGTGTGAGTTTTGCCACTAGAAGTCCCAACACCCACTCCCTCCTCAAACTCCTCCTTACTAATCCACTTTTCCCAGCGCCGCTTCTCTCTCGCTGGTCGTTACACTCGCAACACAAACTTTCAGCCATCTCGTCATCTCGTCGACTAACTATCTCACTTGTCTCCCTGTCACGCCATCTGGTTATCTTCAGTCGCGTCTCGCAGTCCGTTCATCTCGTCATCTACTTATCTGTACATCTAACCGTCGCAGAGAGTCCTGGACGTCCTCTGATTGGCTACCTCGTGCCGAGAAGTCAAGCAACCAATTACTCTGGACTCTACGGTCCAAATCCTTTGAGCCTCTGTCCCGGACAAAGGAGTGGATTCGGTGCTAATTCCTAATTAAACGCTGTATGCTATAAGAAAGCATTGAACCTTTGTTGATAATAGCCAATGCCGAACACGTGAAAGAGACTGCTTTATAATATATATATATATACACATACACACTGTCTCTAGCAGTTATTATTACTACACCCCCAGCAGCACCCGTCCTTGCTACAGCTATAGAAAGGACTCTATCAACAGGAGACCATCGAAAAGTAGCGTTCGTGACAAAAGATGGTCGCTACAAAAGAAGAAGGTAGAGAGATCAAACAAAAAATCTTAAAAAAAATTCATCCTTCTTTTTCGTCGAAAATAAATACGACGTACGTCAAAGTTCGCAGCGAGATGACACGATTACGCATTCGCCGTTCAACGATGATGAAAAAGAGAGGAGAAGATAAAGAAAGGAAACAAAAAGACAAAGTTCGGGCGTACCGAAAAGAGGAGTGTCCTGCAAAGCTTCGTGCCGTGAGTACGCGTGTATATGTATATACAGACGCGTGGGTTTTCCAGGCTACATTCGCCCTGTCCTCTCTCTCTCTCTCTCTCTCTCTCTCTCTCTCTCTCTCTCATGGAGTCCACCTTCGCCCTACACCCTTTTAAACTCTCCAGAACCATTCTGCTTTCCCTCGGAATCGCTTGCTTCAATTTCCCAGGTCTTGCGTTATATTCTTCTAAAATCTCGGCCGGCGAAAAGGCCGCTGAATAATCCCAGACCTTTTCCAATCGTGAGTCGCTTCATTGCGCGCTACCTATCTGCCGGATCCCCAACTGCGCTGGCTGACTATAGCTTGACTGGCTGACTAACATAGATGACATGATGGGTGACTATAGCTGACTATATAGGGTCACGTTATCCACGATCTCTTCCGTGGTTGAAACACTGTTTACACCGTTAAAAGGGCACGTTACTTCCTAGTTCATTGCGCTATACGCCATGTTGATAAAGACTTGACACTCGACGAGTATACTTAGTCAGGAGCGTTTGGTCTTTAAATAAATAAAGAACGTGTAAAAGTAGCATGTAGATGGAGAGAGCGCCGTCGACTCGTAGCTTGTCAACCGGGAGATCCTTCCTCCGGGAATGACGACTGGTACCGTCTTCCTCTCTCCGGTCTCTCGAGTGAGTCAAGTGAGTCGAGCGGGTAAAGAGTGTGAAGAGCGAATGAAACGAACATGAAGAAAGACCAGGTACAAAAGAGAATCCTAATGGAAGAAACGAGTACCTGCCCTGCCCGGAAATATCGTTAAATTTTTTTTAGCGAAGAAAATACGAGAGAGACAGATTTTTCCTTCTATAACGAGAGTAACAGGGATGATGAGTGAACACTTAACCGTTGGCTGTGAAACGAAATACGCGAAAGTATCAAAGATACTCGACAAGAAAGTGTCCGAAAAAGGATGTATAGGTTATGCGTCGTTATAGATATATAGGGAAGCATATAAGTGGACAACCCTTAGATGGGACCTGGCATGTCCTTCGCTCTCGTGCCACGTTACGTTTTGTGTTGGATACATGTATATATATATATATATATATATATATGGAGGGAGGATAGCGTAAATAAGTGTGTGCTACGAAGAAGCGTTCCAGATGTTTAGGTAGGCATAAAACAGACGGTATTTCCACATATGCCATCTCCGCAGGAGCGTGCCCCTATAAAACACAGTAAGGTACGAGATAAAATACGCCCGCTTATTTTTGCCCTAGGAATAAATTCACAGCAATTTGTCGAAAAGTCCCAGCCGAATATAACCCCCAAATCGAGTTAACGTCGCGTCGAGTGGCCATCCTTTCTGGTTGGACGCAACAACGTGGGCTGCGCATTTGCGAGCCCGAGTTGCCTCCTTATGGGTGAGTAGCACGCGATAATCTTCTTTGTCAAATGACGCGTTGGATCTTTAAGAAAAACAATGGCTCGCGTGTACGAGTCGATTGGCGGGAATTTCGAATAGCATGGAAAATCCGGGTCAGGTCGGGAGATGGAAAAAGGGAGAAACAGCAGTAAGAGAGCTGAATGGATGAAAGCAACGAGGCCGGTATTGCGGAAACTCAAGTTATTTCGGAAAAGTTGGCTCCCTTGTTGCCGGCCGGTTGGCATCCACCCTTAGGAACCAGCCAAGTATATATCCCACGAAATATAAATTTCCTCGGTGGAATGGACCTTTTCATGGACAAAGGATCTGCTAAGTGGAGGCTGAATGGCTGCCGTAATGAACGCGAACAGGAAATATTTCCACGGAGACAATATATAGGTCTCTCTCTTACTCTTTCTCTCTCTTTCTCTCTCCCTCTCTCTCTTTTTCTTTCGATTAGGCAAGCTACTGGACTCTAATACAAATAAAGTGGTGCGCACCCCCGCGATATGCCCACGTGAACCCTTCTGTTCTCTCGCGTGTCCCGACGCAGCCACGTCGCTGCAGGGTGTCGCGAGACGACGTCGACAATTTTTAAAGGGCTGCTCGGAAGGCTCATTTGAAATTTATTTTCTTCCTGGTACGAGTGGTGTCCTCACTGACAGTCGCGACAAGTGTCAGAGTTCATATCTCTTTCTATTCTACACTCTCTCACTCACTTACTCTCAACGTTCTCGTGTGGTCCGCGAGCGTCATGGACTTCATGGGTTCACACTCCCTCTCTATTTCTTCATATACTTTGATTGTCAGGTGCTAAACGTCACACGAAAAGAAAAGTCATTCTGACAGCCAAACATACCAATATAAACATTAATTACAAGAACAACGAAAGAGTCGGGGTACTGCTGTTTTTGGTGTCTTAATCACGTCATCGGATACATGAATAACACCTCGTGATAAAGAGTATTGAGGGAGTAAGAGTCCCAAAGAGCATTCTCCGACAAAGGGGTACTTTGCACCGTCTCTATAGGTTAGGTCATACCGCAAGATAGACGCCTATCTCACAGAAGGCATGTACAGTAGGTGGGTTGGGTAGAAGACGTAGAATGAAGGTAGCGGTTGTGCCGAAGGCAAGGGCTTTATTGAAGGTAGCGTAGGTAGCGAAGGAAAGCGACAAGAGAGAATGAGAGAGTTAGTCAATAAGGGCCACGGCAATGGTTGTGATACTCGGTATGTATATATACGTGTATATATAAAGTGACTGTATGTTTAGCTACAGAGGGTATAGAAGATGGTGAGTGAAAAGGGATGTTGTCGTAACCTAACGCAGGGCAAGTCGTCGGAATAGCTACCCACGTTGCGCACTTTCCGCAAGCAGACAAATTAGGTCACCTTGAGTCAAAGTCTCAACTAGAAGCGCACGTTACGTCAAAGTAGCTACGCTAGTAGAGGTACCCTAGTATCTAAGTGCGACGTCAGGCACTTTCTGCTTGCATGGACGAGCTAGTATACTTTGACGGAGATCAACGTTTTCCTGGCAACACTCTTGTTTCACCTGATTACCTTGAAGACATAGCTTTAAGAAGCAGTATACCTATAGGGGGCGTGACAATGGATAAGATGTACATATCTTAATACGTTACTGAATTAAGAGTACTCTTCCTATTCCTGATGCTGTGTATACAGTTGCGTGCTCGCCAGATCGTCTATATATTTTCGTGCTTTGATTCTCATTCCTATCCTTATGTCCAATCCACACGGACGTTTCTGATTGGTCGGTGCTCTATCACGTGATTCTGAAATTAGAAACTGTGTATCACAGACGTCTTTAATGTTCGAATGGTAGTGAAAGATGGTGTTGCTGAGTAATGGTAAATGGTGGATGCCTCGTGCCCCGCTGCGAGCGAATACCATAAACGTTTACTTAAGTAAAATTGGAAGTTTTGGAAAGATCAGTGAAACGGAAGGAAGGGTTTTCGTATTCTGTGACCGAGAGTTAACGACTACGCTAAAGTCGTCGTTAGAGCTGCTTCGGAAGTATCGGAGCAACGAAAGCGGCGAGCGCCCCGGTATTGGGTATCGGGAATTTCCTATAGTCCTGGGTAGAGACTCGAAACTCGATAGAAAGTCAAGAGAGAGATGAGAAATTGACTAGACTCTTGAGAAAGAGAGAGAGAGAGAGAGAGGAGGGAGGGGGAGTGTGGGTGCTTTGCGGCGCAGTTCGTAAACGCGTTTACTTTGCAGGAAACACGCGATCAGCAGAAACTCAGATGACGTCTGGAGTTTAACTAACTAACGAGAATCAGTATTAAAAAAAAGGGAGAAGAACGTTTCTCTTTCACTCTTTCTCTTTAATAGATTCCGAGAAGCCACTATTTCGCTTGAGTCCCCCTTGAAAAAATTGGCCAGCTGCACGTACGCGTATATCCGACGTAGAAGAAGTGGATGCCTCAGGGACGTATTTGCTATTGAATTTTATAGGCAGCTGACCGTCGTACTTCGGGACGGCTACGTATCCTGTAAATAAATCGAATGACTGTCCGTATCGATTGGTGGTTAAATAATATTTAATTTTTTAAAATATTCATCAATTTTTGTTTTTTAATTTAATTTAATTGAGATTGATAGTCGACTATACATTGAGGTTAACCAATATGAAACTTTTATGTAATTGAACAAAAGTCTAAATGAGCAAGAAAATAACATTGAATGCAGTATGAGGGACCAATGTAAATTCCATACGAACTAAGAACAAAATGTATGAGACTGATAAGAGCACAAATGGCGTGGGTGATAGGAAGTTTCAAAAAATTCTAACTGTTCCAAACGGGTAATTGTACGAAATGCGGGCTCAGTTTGGACTAGACAGCAAGTTTAAAAAAAAACCCTTTCCTCTTTAGGGTGGAAAAGGGGAGGTAAAGGAGCAGGAGGCTCTTGGGCGTCGGTTCCAGAACGTCGACCCTCGACCATTCGCGAATTCCTTTTAAGCAGTGCGCAATTGGATTGCCGTACTGGTACGTTTTTCAGGAAGATCTGCGAAGGGAACCTTTATTGCTATACGTGCAGCTATCACTCTCTGGATTTATACCACCTCCGCCACCATGTTTCTCTTTTTATTCCATCCCAGCAGCAACAGCAGCTGAGTGCTCCCTGGAAGGAGCTGGAACTCGTCTAGTTTCGACTCGACGTATATCGAGATATCAAATGCAACGAATTCGAGAAATAGAAACGATACGTCGAATTCCTTAGGAGATACCAAGAAACCACCGGAAGGGAAGCTGCAGCTGAGGCGGAAGTAGAAAGGGACCATACTCGATCAGCCGTCGGGACGGATTTAGTTGGGCGCGAAGGTGGAACGTATAGAATTCGATGTCCCGTGAAAGGCAGGAAAATAGAGATAAATAGAGAGGCGAAGTTTCTCAAAGCAATAGAAAGTCCTGGCACAGCACCTCTGTAAGAGAGAGGCTATGCGAAATAAAGAGTGAAAGAGAGAGACAGTGAGAGAGAAAAGGAAACCTCTTAACAGTTTTAAACGGAAAGACGCGACGCTTCGACTCCAGAGAAACAAGTCACGTTTCTCTCAACTTCCAAACGTTATAGGCAGGTACGGCACAGAATTGTATAGAGTCTAGGAAAAGGATGCATGCATGCATAGAAGGTTGAAGGTACGTGCCGCGTGGTGGCATCGCGTGAAACCCTAAGACTACGGCCCTGCCAGGGTACCCGGGGTGCCTGGGGTGTCTGGGGTGCCTAGGGTGCCCAGGGTACGATTGGGGTGTGCTCGCTTGTGCTGGTGCATGAAAACTAGTGTGTGAGAGAAAGAGAGAAGTAGCGAGTAACACTGACGTAGGAATAGAGATAGATAGATAGACAGATAGACAGAGAGAGAGACAGAGAGAGAGAGAGAGAGAGAGAGAGAGAGAGACCACTACTGCCGGTAGTACTGACGGCGGTACCAATGGAGATCGTAACAGAGTAAGATAGAATGAGAAAACGCGAGCATATGATAAAGAGAAAGAGAGAGAGAGAGATAAATACCCGCTTGGCTAAATAATATGTGCGCATGCGTGGCCCGGTTCAACCCCGTATACCAGTGGCGCAGGGTTGTGGCTGTCTTTCAGGCGCTAATATAGTAAAGGGAGGGGCGCCATTTGGCATAGGCCGTCGCTGCTACTCGGCTACGATTTCAAATGTCTGTCCTCGCGTATTCGGTCTTCCTGCCGTCTTCGCGTGACGACGCGTCCGTTCCGAAAGCTCGGGAGCAGCAGCGAATGTCCCATATTACTCTCGCTATCACCTGGAACTGCTGCTACGTCTGCAGACCGTTTTGATTTGCTCGAAAAAGAGGTTGTGTCGGTCAGGTTAGAGCGCCAACTCCTATCATCTGTAGCAACGTGATCGACATCGTATTTGGAAGCTACAAGAGAGAGAAAGAACGAAAACATCTCGCGTGCACCGAGCGCAAATAACGCGTTCACATCAAAGATTGCCGAAGAAGCGATTATTCCTGGAATCACGAAAAATAATATTCGTGCACGTGATAATATAAATATATATATACACACACGACAAGTCAGTACACAAGGTTCTCACGCGATTGACTATTTCCCGACCAGAGCGACAACAACGCTACCATCGAATTTTGCTGAAATATATCTAATCAATAATAACTGCGGTGCTACGTTGCTTCCGTTAGAATAATTATTGGGCATTGTGAAACGGGGAGGGAACAGTACACGGGACAGTACGGACAAGTCCGGCTAAGTTGGTAAGGTAAGCGGATTGGTGGGTACGGGAAAACGAGAGAGGGCGCGTGTGTATTCCCTTAGTCGTGCGCTGTGTGGCGCTGTGCGTGGATATGTGTTCGCCCCTGTGTTAGAGAGGAGTGGGAGTTACTGAGAGTGGGAGAGGAGAGGGAAAGAGTGAGAGAGGAGAGACTAACGTAACTAGGAAGGAGCAGAGTGACGGACAGCCGTGCGAGTGACAGAAGCGCGCGAACGTGAAAATACCCAGGAAGTGAGAACGTCCTTTTTACCTTTGACTTTACCTGGTGTAACGGCTGCCATTGTAGTCCTGGTTCTCTTATCCAGGACACGCGTCGAGAGTGTCCATCCGGGAGGTGGTGTCATGGATTGGTTCTCGAAGATGGGCCTTATCGGCATTCTGGCGTTTCTTATTCCATTGGGTAAGTGACGTTTGTCATTTGATTATATTTAGTTTATATACCAAGTGAATACTTTTTCTTTATTTTGTCTACCTTGACAGCAGCACTTTTTTAACACTCTCGCTATCCCCTGATGCCTCTGTTATGAAAAATGGAATACTCGGAGCGTCCTGTGGAATGATTTTTCTTCGTTCTTTTTCTCTTTGTTTCACCTTTTAGTATATGCCGGTAAGTGGCATAAAACGTTACGCGGTGATTGTGACTCTGCGAGGGAGATAATTTTTTAATTTTTCTTTTCTCTCCATCTCCATCCTCTGTCCCGTAGAAAGACCCGGGATAAATCTACGGAAAATTAGAAAGCGTGGGCGATCTGTCATTCCGGAGCGTCGGATATGGGAAAAAGTATTGCATCCTGGCAACGGCGAGGCTCGATTCATCGGACAGCCAGTTTCCTCGCAAATCTCATTGGCCAGGAATGGGTTAAACCGTTTTGCGGTGCGTGTTCACCGTATATATACAATCTACAATTTGTATATTATATACAAATACATATATACAGGGTTATGCAGTAGAAACGCACCACCTGAAGTTAGCCCGTCATTTGATTTCTATGGTAGAACCATGTTCAGGTGGTGCATTTCTACCGAATAACTCTATATTTATTTTTATTCGACCAATTCTTCTACACTTGTATGTCGTGCATCGGTAACCACATCCGTTCAGTGTTTTCACGGAATGCTAATATATTAACCTTTTTTTTTTATTTGTCAATTTGGCAGTCAGCCTTTTGCCGAGCAAGTTTACCCTCGCGTTCTCATCTCCCCCTTGGTTCCACCAAATTTCTTTATTTATCCTAATTTTTTCGCTGCCACTTTCGCTATGCTCTTCATGCAATTGCAGAAGTATTACGCACTTTTTATATGCACTATCATTAAAGAGCAAGTAGATTATAGATATTGCATTCTGTCAATAATGAAACCCTGGCTTCATTCGAAAGTGAGTATTGGATCTAGCCTTTGACTCTACACACGTGTAGAATACGTCTATATCATATATCGTGCACGTCCTTGTACGCTATAGTGATATATTATATACATACAGTATAGATATATCTAAATAGCTCGATTTCAAGCAGTTTGGCACCATTATCCCTAGCACAAAGGACAACGACAGCTTTACCGTCGGAATCTGAAAATCTGAGATTATAATAATGCGATTTAACACCCTTCAAGCGAAAGAGGTCGCGTTACATCGATCTTAGACCAAGAGAGGGGTCGGTCGGCCGTTTCGTCCAAGTAAGACAGGGGGAGGGGAGTGGGGAGTCGGGATGCAAATTTTCCAAGGAGACAAAGAATCCGTCGCGCTGCCTAAAGTTCGCCCGGTCGTCTCATCTCTCTAGGCTGTCTTTAATAAAAGTAGCTTCCCGCAAGAAAATGGGGGTGGGAGGGGGCTCGTCGACGATTCTGCGAAAGATCGATCGACGGGGGTTTCGAAGGAGGCGAAGAAGGTGCGAGGGTGACGGTAATATGGTATATACACGTACGAAAGGAATGATGGTGGAAGGATGAACGTGCAGAAGGCAACTACGGTGGTGAAAGCAGTTTCACGAGTTGCTCAATTATTTCGGGACTCTTGAACGGGGCTGCCAGAGCAGAAAGCCAGAGGAGAAACGGCGGCCGACTTAGGGCCAGTTTTCTGCATAATTCACCCTCCAGGTCATGTATTTTAGTCGGGCAAAATTTTCTCGTATTCTTGAGCTCAACGGCCACCCAGTCACCCCCAGAGCCACCCATTGGCGCCAGCGGCAGCAGCAGCAGCGAGGACTTTCACGGGAGCGTAAGGCCGCCGAGGGTCGTCATCCCGGTACGTGCTGGAGGGTCTCGCAGATAGGAAATCTTTAACGTGCACGTATCGAGTACTTTAACGAGTACAGGTTCGGATACATAGGTATACACAGCGTACAATGCTATAACGTGTGCTCTAAGGGGGTTGTAAAAATCTCAAGCGTCCAGACGTCAGAGGTAAAAGATTCCCGTCGCTAAGTTCCCGCCGGTAAAAGTCCTTCGTACGGAGCATAATTTTTCACAGAATCCCAAGCGGGCAGATGCACGCCACTTTTCCCTCTCTGCTCCTCTTCCCTTTTCACTCGTTTACTCGCTTATTCACTGTTACGACCACCGAGTAGTCTCCTGTCTTCTGCTACCCTCCCGTCATTTCCACTCCCTTGAATATCTACTTAAGCTACTACCCCATACCCGCTCTACTACAACCCGAGCCTCCCCCTCGGTACCTTGACTGTACTACCCTCGGCATCGACGTTTCGTACGGCGATTATCATCTAATTAGGAACTGATGCGCGGAGACGATCGCACGGCATTACACGTAAATTGACTCATTTTCAATTAATAACAATTAAGCGATTAAACGAGCAGCCGGCACGCGTCAGCCGTCGCGAGGACCATCTGTTGTCTGTACGGCTTGTTCTCTCCCTATAGCGCATCATCGTATGCATGCTTCTTGCTCAGTCTCTCTCTTCCTCTTCCTCTCTCTCTCTCTATCTCTCTCGATGCGTATCGTGACGTTGGAAAAAATGTAGGCGCACCGCCACTGGGCTCTACCATACACTGGAGTGGCCTGGCGTGCAGTGAAGTGGTGTGTGGCATGGTACGATAGAGGGATGGAAGGATAATGGGGGGCGGGAGGGGGTTGCGATACACCGTGTGCTGCCTGAACTATGCCGTGTGCGTTTCGTATCGTTTCGCCGTGAACCTACCCCCGTGGCCCGTTATGTCTCCTCATGAATTACTTCTGTGTTTATAAAATAAACGAGACGGCCGTGCGAGCTGGGGAAACGAGCGAAATGGCTAGAATACACGTAGACGAGCCTGAACGAGATAGAGAGAGATAGATAGAGAGGGAGGGAGGTAGGGAGGGAAAGAGAGACAGAGAAGAGAGAATACCACATTGAGATACGTATATGGGCTGGTACGGGCGGCGGACCCTTTTACACGAATCTCGAGTACGCGGAGAAGGCGGACAATTTCTCGTCGTACTCGAGTAGCGCTAAATTTCGTTTCGGTGGCAGGAAATGCTCGAGGCTGCATGTAAATAATAAACGTCCTCTCTCTTCTCTTTCTCTTTCTCTCTGCTCTCCCGTACTATATAACGTTGCTTTCCAGTTTTCCACCTAGAGGCCCAATCCCCATCTACCAAACCACCGTCTTACCCTCCTCCCACTATCTTCGTGCTCTATGTTCAGAGGGTTATACGCGTCTGCCTATCTCCTCTGTTTTCTTGTTCAACTTACCTCCTATCCTCTTGAAGTGTCTTCTCCGGAGGTTGGTAGGGAGGGAGGGAGAGGGTTGAAAGGAAGGAAGGTTGACTGTACCCATAAGATGGCTGCTATGATTGTAGCTAGGTATACCGCTTTGCGCTATCGATTCCTTAAGAAGATTTCCCGGTGCTGGCGTAAACGGCTGGAGTGGAGAATTACAGTACGACATTTAGCTAACCCAAGGGAGAGAGAGAGGGAGAGAGAGTTAGCGAGTGAGCGAGAGACAGAGACGGAGGGAGTGTGAGAGAGAGAGAGAGAGAGAGAGAGAGAGGAGGGAGGAATCGATGAATTCTTATACGAGCGGGGGCCGATGCGGATTTTCTACGCTTGAGGTTGTCGCGCGCAAGAGGAGTGGCAGGTTTCCGCGACGATGAGCTAATATTTGAGTATGAGATCGTTCTGAAGTTTCTCCAGGACGTCTCGACGTTCCCAAACGAAACTCGCATATATTTACACGGCAGTCGAGAAGACTCGACCGAGGACCATGGATCCTTTCGCTTAATTACATTATATCTATGAATCTGTACCTCGTCTGTATATACGTCACTGTCCTTAATGGACCAGGGAACCAAGAGGGGTAGAACGGGTTCCTGAGAGATGGCGGATAAAATTCGTATAAAGCCAAGGTAAAACGTTGCGATCTAACTAAGCCGGGCGAGAGTCCCGCAGCATGATGATCCCCAACACTAGTCTTCCTAGTCCCTGGTCCCTGGTCTCTGGTCCCTGGTCCCTATAGTCCCTAGACCCTTTTCGTTAGAGCCACCAACTGCGAAAGTTCTTCATCCCTCCTTACATTCGTCTCTCCCTCACTCGCTTTCTTCCTCCAGCCATCCCGGGCTCACTCCCAGGTTTTCCTCCCACGCTTTCGACCCACGTTTCCATCCCCTTGGTCCTCCTGGTTCAACCCTTATGCCGATAAATGTCGTCGCGATGAGAGCCCCGAGGGATAATTCGTTCTTGAAGTAATCCGTGCATTTCCATTCGAAGTCACCGAGGAAATCATCGTAAAATCGCTGAAAATCATCCTCGAATAATCGGAATCCCACTAAGAGAAACCGACTCCAGGATGATACGTCCTCCTTGATACCGTTCTCCCTTTACTTATTCATACATCGATATTACCTACTCGCCTGCTTTCCTTCAGGACGTCCTGAGGACTCGCGCTCTGGGTATAATGGCGTATCGATGGGCATACCCAGCCCGAGGGTTCTCTACGTGCCACGTACTGCCGGCAAATTATGCCCTTCGAAACTAGAATAATGGTCCAGTCTATATAATTTACTGTATATATGTATGCGTACGGGATTGGTCTATAACTATTGGCACCTGAAATAACTATTGGCGTTTCTGAAAAATTTGTCCAACAAAGTTACACGGAATACAAAATAATCGTCATATATTGATGATAATTTCATCATGGGCGGGGATATGCTTAGGAGATATCAAGGTGGTCTACTTTTATCTTTTTTTTTTTTTGTCATAGATTGATGTGTTTTCCTTCTCCGAGTACGATAGCAACTCTGTGACACTAAGATTAAGCAAGGTCACCCAGGGCGCCCCGTTTCAAGATCCGCTGTCATTATGTGAGATAGAAAACATATCAATTTATTTTTACAGAAAAAAATTAAGATGCCTCCTAAGCATCTCCACTCACGAATTAATCATTAACGCCATAATATATCTGTACCGTATAATTTTTGTGGGACGAACTTTTCTCGGACTCCAATTGTTTCGGATATATTTAATTTAATCTGCACGTATCCCGAGTCAAATCAAAAATCCAGTGAAGTTGTACGTACATTATATATATATATGTATGTATGTGTACTCGGTCAACAAAGCGCAAATAATTTTGCAAATATTTTTGTCCCAGCAAAATAGCCCACGATAACGGCTGCACGCTGTTTATGCATGTATATCGGCATGGAACAATGCAATAGCGCTGCACCCCTTGCTCAAAGGCAGAATCTCTCGTGATAACTGAAACTGTCCCAACGGGTCGTAAAAAAAAAAGTGGGGCCCTCCGCACGGTGTCGGGTAACACTTATGCGTATTCTAGGCAACGGCCTGATTGCGACGGGAACACTTACCGACGTCCGAGGACGTCGATAAATTTTGCGGATGCTACGTATCCGGTAATTTTATATTGTTGAAACGATCGTGAATAGGAGCACGCATGTAGAACGGTCATGCGTGTATGTCATTGACAGATAGATAAAAAGACGGTCTCTTTTTTCTCTTTCGGCCAGTTTATCCTATTTTTTGGTTTTGTTATTTTCTTCCTGTTTTTATTACCTTTTTATTTTTCATTCATTTGGCCTGTTTGCTTGTCGTTCTTCGTGCTCGACGTCGTTGCACTGTGTTTGTCCTATCGGACAGTAATTACACGTAGAAACTATAGCCAAACCCCCTTTATGCATCGACGTGCGGTCGTTCTATCGCATATATCTGAGTCCCTAGTCCATCCGCTATTGGAACGTGTACAACCAGGTTAGCTGAAGAAACCAAAGTTAGGTTGAGCTAGGTTGGATTAGTTGGAGGAACCAAAGTTAGGTTAGGTTTAGGACAGACCAGATCCACGCTCGCGGGACGGCGCCACTATCGTATATACAGGGCGTCACAAAAGTATTTCATTACCTAGCTACTTGTTTGTTCCACGATTCTTCCTAGACATTTAATTCCTCCCGACGACCACTCGTGCTCGCCGATTAATCGACGTACGCGAGAGGAGAAATTCTTGACCGAACAATCGCTGATCGATTTATTTGCTATCCACGAACTTGCACGTATGTATATATATACGCGATTTACAAGCCGTCTTGTATCACTATGTAGAATCGAGTATTTCACATTCCTATAGCCGTACGGTTTGCCGCCGCCATTACTGCATCCTACATTATTATCAAGCCTAGCCAGCTGCCCGCGGTTCGCTAATGCTCGAATCGACCCGTGACTAAAATTTCGCGCGACACGAGCCAGCGTCGCGGCGTTGATTCGAATTGTTGAAATCCCCTCTCCTTCATCCCTGAACAAATTAGTAGTAGGTGGGTAAGCCGCCATTGCCCGAATCCCTCAGGACATGCTTTCATGAGTTTCCCGCATACCCATCCCAAAGACAATGGATTATATATATATGTACGTGCAAGAGAGAGAGAGGGAGAGAGAGAGTGAGAGAGAGAGAGAGAGATAGAGACAGAGAGAGAGACAGAGACAGAGAGACAGAGTGTACCCTTGAATTTCGCAGGTTTCCCTACTTTGCCTGTTATAGCTAGTTTGATTACAACGACGTCGCCCGGGGTGCTTGAAAATACCTGAGACCCACGTACCGACGCAATCGACTCCTAATCATTAGCTCTCGCTTACAGCTCCTGTCCCTCCCCCTCGTACCAGCCAGCTACCAACCCAGACACTTTCATCCTTCGCAGGCAAACGGGAGGAGGCAGCCATAATAAATCCCAATGTTTCTATCGCTGTTATAGGTTTCCTTTGCTACCGATGATCCGCTCAGCCGCCGTCCTCTTCTCTTCGCCATCCGATCGGTTCTAACCCTCGACATATGACACCGCTTGCCCTCTGGCACCACGGTGGCCGTTCATTCGTTCTTATCCGTTCACGAGGTAGCTGATGTGGCTGCAGATACTAGGCTTCCTGATCTCTCGTGCGGTGTTCGATTTCCCTGTAAAATAATACCGAAAAGAAATGTAGCAACTGTCGGGACGTATGGGCGATTGGGAGGGGATAGGTGACTTACGTGTCACCTCGTTTCGCCACTGTCAAACTATTATCGGGAGGATGAGGGTACTCGGGAGAGATCCTCGATAATACCTTTATTTTAGGGGCGGGTGTCGGAAGGGTCGAGACTTCTGATCCCTTTTGCTCTTCAACCTCCCTCATATGTTTATATAGATATATCCTTTTTTCGATGCACACGCGAGCACGGAATGACGCTTGCACGCAGATTTTGACTAGGAAGAATCTTTTTAACATAAAATTTATGTCATTATCGATTATATTATTTAATGCTTGGTATAGGCATATTTTTTTATACTTTGTTGCGGATAACCTTATGTATTGACGTAATCGTTATATCCAGGGGTTTATCGAGGTGCTGTAACTTTTGAACCGGAGTTGCTTCGAGTTATCTTGAACTCGTGGCAAACAGTTTGCTTCGTTAAAAGCCCGGAGGCCTATACGTGCGACCGGTGGACGAAGGAAAGAGAAATTGCTCCTGGCAAAAGAAAAATAAAAAGAAGGAAAGAAAGGGGTACGCGGGGAGACGAGTGAGGAGAACCCAAGCGGAGAATCTCACTGGGAAGTTTGACGATTCTCGGACTTTGCAAGGATCGTTCGAGCGGATGGAGGTGGTTTCCCATGAAACCGTTTCTGTCGTCCTCTTTGCGAGAATCCTGGAGTAGTTAGGGATGCTCGAGTGCAACAAGGAAGTACGCGGCCTGGCGGGAGGAACTGAGAAGGAAGAGACGGTCGTATCTATCGGAACGATCCGAGAAATCGATGAATGGAAACGTGCAGTCCGAACGTCTCTCGACGTTTTCGAGTGGTCAGAAGGGGAAAAAATGAAAAATAAAAAATTGTTATCCCCAGAATGAATGGAGCGGGTGTGTTACCTGGAAAGAGTCTTAGACCGGAAGAAGGCGCTGGGATGAAGAGGGTCGTATGATCAATCCGGAAGTGAAATCATTCTTCGGCGGACGGTTTGCATTAATGATGGAATCACCGCTGACGTGGTTCGGCTTACGTGTTCCTGGTGCACTTAGGATAATCGAGTAAACAAGAATGAGTAAGAGAGAGAGAGAGAGAGAGAGAGGGTACGAATGAACGGAACAAGTGAGATATAAGGAAAGAGATGAAAAGATGAATAAAGGAGAAAACAAATATTGTAATGAATACAGTATGCTTGCCGAATATGATTCATTCCTGGAACGTTATGAATGATAACTCATGCATATTGAACAACGGGGGTTGGATTTTTCTCTGACTCAGAGTACGCGGGGTGACTTCTACCCTGATGAATAAGAGCCGGGTTAGGTACTTACTACGTTTGAACGAATCGCATGTCCTCCCTACTCCAAGTAGGTAAAGGTCCCCGGCACCAGGGGTTCTATACTATACCATGTACTTACACCGTCGCCCCTTCGACTTCACTCGACCTGCCTCGCCCCACTAATTAGGGTGTGCTTTTTGCCGGTGATCAGCCACAAATGGTTTCTTGCACCCTCGCGCAACCCTTTTAGCAAAATTCTCTGCCACCGTCCTGACACCAGATACTAAAACCAAAATACTGGTTATCAAAGTACGCTGGTAGATCGGTGTCGGTTGTTCATTCATTTTGACAGGTACCTCACCAGATTCGGATGTATATGACCACTCTTTATATATATGTGTATCTGTGAAATAGTGCATTCGTTTTATCAGTCAGGACGCCTAGGACTGGTACATGAACTTTCCACGGCAAATGGAGCTTCTCTGGAGGGCAGGTGTAGCTTAATGTAACTTCACTCTATTATTCAGTAGGCCTTTCTCTATACGTCTTTTATCTGGTCCGCGTTATCGTTGCTGCACTATTGGTGCTTGGTTTGACCAAATGAATACTGTATTTTACCTTGGTCTCGTGGATGACGTTCTAAATGCACCCGTTGGGCTTTTCTGTTTCAGGGGCGGACGCACTCAGGATGATGGAGGTTATGATACCGCAGCACGTCATACGCGGACAGAACGTTAGACTCGAATGTAACTTTAACCTGGACCGAGAGAGTCTCTATTCGGTGAAATGGTACAAGGATGGGAATGAGTTTTATCGATACGTACCTAGGGATATGCCGCCAGTCCTGGTATTCTCTTTGCCAGGAGTCACCGTCGACGTAAGAACCATTTACTGGATATATATAGTTTATCGATAACGAATGGTCTCCTCGTGCGATCAACTTATACACCGCCAGGAGGTAGTCAGAGCCAGGACTCGTTCATATCCATTTTCTTCTCGTTTCTTATCCCTTTCAATTTATCCCGCACCTCTCACACGTCATTCTGCTGCGGATTTTTCGAGAACTAACGTCAGCCCTGTGTCAGCCTATCCTGTACTCGCATTCCTTTGTACCGACTGAATTCCCTTTTGCCGTAACTACATTTCACTCTGGCCCGCCAGGATACGGTAAATCGGTGTCTATGATGTAGTCGTTAATATCGTAGGAACTCTTGACATTTCCGCACGACGTTTGGAAACGCCAAACTACGCGGAATTACCAGGTCGAGGCCCTTAATATTACATTCAAAATGACCGGTCGATAGAGCCTTCCGTACTTTTCGAAGCCTCTATGCTGTATTTTGACGTTGGCTTCTTTTTTTTAGTGATCTCATTACCCGTTTTTTTATCGGTTAAATACTTGAGAGCGAATATATCCTGTACTTTCAGATTCACAATTCCACGGAGAAATCGGTCGTCCTCAATTCTGTAAATCTCATGAGCTCTGGTCTCTACAGATGCGAGGTCTCGGCAGAGGGGCCATCTTTTCAAACCGTCTCGGGCCACTCGAATATGCAGGTGGTCGGTAAGTAGGAGCATTCACTTGAACTCACTTACCTCGTTTATTGCCGTGATTGTCAAAGTGAATGAAAAAATTCAAAATATACTGCAGAGACTTAATTTGTCTTTCAGCTTTACCGGAAGATGGTCCTGTGATCACCGGTAGACCCGGAAGGCATCGCTACCAGGTAACCGACGTGGTTCGCTTCAATTGCACTTCAGCTAGATCAAAACCGCCCGCCATGCTCAGCTGGTTTATCAACGGCGAACCGGTATGACTTTTACGATAACTCGTAGTCACGTAGACCAAATAATCGTAGGTCAACGAATGGCTTCCCCATATATGTCTACATAAATATAATGTATATATACTCAACCAGGTACATTTATTTTTCTGGCCGAGCATTGACCTCGCTGCTAATTGCATTGACCCAACAGGTCGACCCGCAATATCTACATGGACCTCATATCACGGAAGTTGATCGGGAGGGTTTGCAGACCGCTGTACTCGGACTGGAATTTCGCCTTCGGGCGAAACACTTTAAACGAGGTGACATGAAGATAAAGTGTCTCGCTACGATAGCTACCATCTATTGGAAATCGAATGAGCTCAGTATAGAGGGCGACCGGCCGCTAAAAGCACCAGTTATGGAGAGCAGGGAGACCAGGGCGCAAGGTCACACGCATGCTGAGCATATTCTAGGTGAGAGAGAGAGATACCTCTAAATATCACCAGACACCTACATCCATTCCTACAGCCGTTATTTCCTTCCTTCCGGCCTTCCTTTCAACTTCATTCATCCGTTCATCCGTTCTTGATTAACTTTAAAACTATTATAAATTATACTGGTATATAAGAGTTTCAATGCGAACGAAATGATTACATTGTTTCAGCCAGCGGAAGTAGGACGATCGCAGGAACTTATCTATTGTTGATTCTCCTGGTGTTAGTTTCATTGCGATAAAAGATCACCTTATATGCTCTTCCAGAAAAAAAACCACAACAGAAATCAAGAAAAGGCTCATCGTCTCAGACTCTGCAGCTAAATTAATCCCACCCTTACGCTCCTTCATCTCCTATCCCCCCCCCCTACCCCGGGGTTTTGCTAAATCCTTATATCTTCTTCAAAAAAAAAAAAAAGAAAAGAATGAAAGAGAAAACACCAGGAAAAATTAACCATGAAATTATCCACGTTGTTTCTATTTTTTATATTTGCAATTACCAAATCGTATCGTGAATTTAACACTTTTTATATCTGTATAATAGACACCATGCGTAAATAAGAGGATCAGTCATTAGGGTGAATTTTGATTGATCTCTTGATATAAATAAGCAAAATGTAGTACGAGAATATGCGCGCCAGATACTCCAAATTGCTACTATTTTATCATTCATTATTTTCCATTAATCATAACTCATTTTCATACTTGACGTTATTGTTACTGTCATTGATAGATCTGCTCGATGTTTTTATGATCGATGAATCGTAGAACCGCGTTGGGACTGTAAATTACAACCTCTCGGTATGCATTGATGTTCTTGTTCGTAGGATCAATGGGTTTGGATGACAGTGCTCGATATAATTATTACGTTCTTAAATGAGTAAATGGAAAAAAAGAAAACTCGTATGCTCATTGTCAGCTCTCATCATTGTAGCTTTTACTAATCTAGTCGATATCAATTACCCCTAGGATATCACATATTAGCCGTGTTAAGATGTGTGAATTTAGCATGTGTCTATTAACAGTAAGTGAATTTTCGCCCTAGACATTCCTAATTGTTAATTACTATAATAGAGTAAAGAGGTATCGTGCGTATTATTATACTTTTATCTACCTAATTATACGAGTCCTGTAAATATGTATATAATTGAAATTAATTTTAATTAACTTAATATTCAGTAATAAAACCAATGTTATATCGGCATACTGATTTATTATAAAATTACTTGCTCCTTTTCGTTTTTGACATCAGATATTCCTATAAGACGAATAAAAAATAGATTGTCCAGTATAATGGAGGTATGTTGCAAGTTAGGCTGATATTCCTTTTCTGCTTTTTTTTTTATTATCATAAATCATTGGTGCTCGAAAGATGACGCTCTGTGAAAAATGAGTGCTTTGTTAGTTTTGGAGCTTTTGTACGTGTATCAACTTTTGCAAAATATTTGGAGATTTTTTGCTCGGTAGGCAATTGTTCTTCCTCTAAATCTTCCCATTCAACAGCCAGGGCACTAGACTCCAGAATTTTTTCTGCAGTTGACCAACTGAATCGTACTATATGTGGGAATCCAAAAACTTGGTCCACATTGCTTGTTAACCATTTCTTGGTAACTGGATCATTTGGGTATCCACTACCAAACTGGTTCTCATTGGAACCTTCTCGAAATTGCCAGGCACGTAATGCATGATCTCGAGACACTTTTGCACAGATACTAGCAGCACTAACAATAGGATATGTTGAGTCAGCTTTCTTAGCAACAACTATTTTGAATTCAGGGAATATTTCCTGCAGTTTTGCTTGATATTTTTCTGGCTTTCCCACAGTGTCGACATATACTTCAGCTATGTTTACACCTGCCTCTATGGCTTTATGAATCAGTCCGATTGCAGAGTTCATGGAAACTTCATTTAAAGATGTCTTACAACGACGATACATGCTATTAGCAATAACATTAGGAGAGATTGCTTCAACAGCCCAACCCATTTTGTCAGATTCATTACAGATCTTATCAAAAATTGCATCTCTTTGTTCCTCTGTTAGACTTTTCGAATCAGCGCAACCTAGATCTATTAATAATTCCTTTTTAGATAATGGAGCATATGCAATCCCATATACCATAGGACCAAGAACAGGTCCTCGACCAGCTTCATCTACTCCCAGTTGACATGGTTCTTCCTGACAAATTTGTGGAACCTGCCAATTAAAGTACGATATAAAATAAAGTATAAATATAAAAAAAATAACATTTCAATTAGATCCTTTCATTTCATACCTCTGATAAGTGAATCTTATTGATACTGTGATCACTTTTCTCAAAAAGAGGTGTTAAATCCTGTTGACAAGTTATTTGAGTAATATTTGCGATATGAGTGGAAGATTCCTTTTTATCATTATGTTCATCTTCTGTCGATAGATTAACATTGCTTTCTTCATCAGTCATGACTTCAATAATCAGACTTTATATATAAATTAACTAGTGTCTTGTCAACTAACCTCAGAAATCTTAACTGTTTCGAAGAACCGCCAAGAAAATGATCTATCGGTAAAACAACTAGAAACAACATCACTATTGTTCTGTGGATAAACGAGTGATCGATAAAGTAGAGTGAATGGATTGACCCTTGACCCGCTAAGGAATGGTTTCTCTTCATATTTCATAGTTCTTGCCCATACATATCAGTGGCGTATTGCAAACATAACCTCCACTATAAAATGTTCGAACATTCATGGATGATACAGAAGTTTTTGACATTCGAAAGAATTTGATTAAACGTGTGTAATTTGATTCAGTTTAGTGCAAGTAAAGTAAATTGCATCATGAAAGTCATCGTGAAGATTCTTCAAGGAAAAGAATGTGTTGTGGAAGTAAGTAACCTTTTTAATTAATTATATTATTTCACGAGACTCCGATTTAATTTAATTGTTTAAATTTGTCATCATATTTTTCCTGTAATTGCCACATTCTGTTTCTATATATTTTAAATAGTTTTATAATTCTCAATAATATATTCATATTTCCCCCATAACCTTTTCAATGATACATTTTATCCATATAACTATTATATATTTTTTTTAAATTATAAAATGGATTGTTATTCGAGATTCAACAAATGTTCTCTGACTATCTAGTAAGTTGACACCTTAAATTAAATTTAAAAAATATTCTGTTCTTGGTACAGATCATGCCTTCAGAAACTGTTTTGGAATTGAAGCATAAAGTGAGCAGTCTTTTAGGGATTGATGTTCCTCAACAGAAATTGTTACTGACGGGCAAAGCTCTTGCAGGTAATTAAAGTTATTAAATACTTGGAACAGCCCATGATAGATAATTATATGCTTCAAATGGTATGATTATATCTAAACTATTTCAGATGAAAATCCCTTGAGTTTCTACCCAGGCATCAAGGATGGAAGCAAACTGAATTTAGTGGTTAAAAAGGCAGTAGGTGAATCGAATGAAGGGAAATCATCCCATAATCAATCTAGCACACAACTCTTAAGAGTTGAAATGTCAAGAGTGTTAAGGCATTATTATACCGAATCAGAAACAGAGTCAATAGTCAATGAATTGATAAAAGACTTGAAAAATAAAGTGAATAATCTTAGTTTTGATGATTTGGAGAGATTAGCAACTGCGCTTCTTCAAGACCAAGAGACCATAGCTTAAGATAATTTGAAAACTTCATCCACCTGCTTATCAATCTAAAATTGTATTACACTTTTATTTAACCAAACCCAATGGTTAATATTAAACTTTATAGTTAACCATGGCTGTAATTTTTTCATTACCTATTGTATTCAAAAACTAATGTATAAAATTGTATAATCATTCTTTATTTATTACTTTTTTTTACAGTGTAAAATTATACAATGATGACACTGTCAAGGATCCGCTAAGTCTAATTGACGGAAGTACCGTGCAACCAAACAGATGAATAAATTTAATACAGTTGTCTGAGATTTTTTTATTGGGCTCTAAAAATCATTAAAGTTGGCGTTAGTTATTGACAAAAACAATTTACAGAATAAGAAAGGTCATACAGAAAAACATTACCAAGTCAGCTCGAAGGACAGAGCATATTCTTGCTAAGGAGCGCAAGCAAGAACACATATCTGGATTCAAGGGAACTTCAAGAACTACTAAAAGCGCATATATCCATCTTCCAAGATCATCTTCAAGCCTTTTCTGAATTTCAACGAACTCTATAAGATATTCCAGCACCTGTTCAATGGTTGGTTGATTCATAGAAAATAAAATCTCTAATGTGGGATCATTAGACTTGCATTCTTCATGAAAAGTGTTTGATCCTAAGCAAAATTTTATCCAACCACTTTTATCGTCAACTTCAGGCTGGAACAACAAAGAATAGTGTTCAACAGAATATACAAGAATACAAAGCTTTAACAGCTGGATTGATACTATAAAGAATTACCATGCATATACTTGATGGTCTCCATTTTCGTTTACAAGTTTGGATCTCGCTCTTTAAACGAGCAACATATAATCTAATATCAGAAAAGTCTGTGATTTGACATTTTTGCCACTCTGCTGCAGGTGCTAACGAGTGTGGAGCTGTCACGCATCCTGCCAACTTTACAACAACATATTAGTGGTGGAACAGAACTGAAACAGTTCTCTATTTGTTCTGTAACTTACGGCTTTGACATATACACCAGTATCCTTGAGTCGTCTCCTATCTATCTGTGCTATCACAACGTCGTCGCACTTTTGAGCTTCGACTCTATAAAAATGAAAAATCTAAACATCACAGGCAGTATTTTCAAATAATAACCCTATTACACAAATTAGTAACCTGTATACTTACATGACACGTTTAATATATTCCTCACCCGTTGCTGGTGGCACAGAAAGATTAATATTCTCTTCAACCGATCCTACAAATAAAGCTGGTTTCTTTAAACAATCTGTCATCGTTTTTCTATTTGTCACTCATGAAAATTCTATACAATCTTTCGTCGTGTGGACATCAAACGCCAAAAATACTTGAAGTGAATAAATTAACCTAATGTAAAATTTTAAAAAGAAGAATATGATGTTAAAATGAAAATTTAAAGAAATAATAAAATCAATAAAATTACCTCAATGTATGTTCTTTCTACTGTATTGATTGATAAATAAATATATAAACATTTGCAATATATTAAAAAGTATTGTTTTCATCCAATTTCTATAATTTTTAAATTGATACCTAAATAATATAAGTACCAATTATCTGATTTTTACAGAAGTCCGACAGGGTCATCGTGAACACAGACTACTGTATGTGCGATAACCCCTATCTGGCACTTGGCTACACTTGGCCCTCTATGAAAGAATAAAGCCAAACAAGGAACAAGAAGATAATGCCGATAACCCTACCGGGATTTCCTAATGTCTTTGCGATGAATATTCTTATTTACCGATAGAGATGAGAATCATAATAATAATGATAATAATCGTAGTTATTCGGAAAGCAGCAGTCTCAAACAGGCGGATGGGTTGGGCGCAGTTGGACGTTATGGTTGACAGTGTGTTCTAATTGTAAATCAAAATAATCTAAGTAGATAGTAGTGTTTTTCTGTTATTAGATATCTTTATAAAGTGAAATCATGGAAAAACCACTTCCTGTTCTGTTATCTGTAATACTTTTTGGAGCTCTATGTGGTAAGTTCAAATTGGAAGATTTTTATAAATACATCAACATTTAGTCATGAGGCTAATTAGTCACTTAACTCTTAATGAAAGTTTCTGGTAGGAAATATTTTAATTGATTCATTATGGCGTTTAACACTAATCTTTTTTATTCAAGGTCCTTTAGCTGATGCTGAAGGAGGAAGCCCATGTCAAATACCTTTGGTGATACGAGGATCATGGTTTTCCTGGGAAAATGGACGTAATACTCTCACTGAAATCAATGCTGAAACTATGACGAACAAGGGATTTTGTATAAACATGCTTGAAGAATATCATGTCAATTACACATTTGTTTTTCAAAAGTCTGTGTGTTATAACTGTGTCAAGCTCTTTGTTCGAACAGTCAATGTACTTCAGAAACTTGAAAGTATGTATAATTTAAATATATTAAAATTTTTGTGTGGTATTGGTATAATGTGACTACATTAATCCTTTTATGTTATAGGTAGTTGTGTAAATTTGATTCCTGGAGTAGAACCTACAGTAGAAAATGTCTGTCAAGGTTTACATCCAGATCAACAACTAATTACATTATTCTCTGAGAATTATGTTCCTGTCAACTGTCGTTCCTCATTGGAAGGAGTATGGCAATTTGCATATCAGGTAAAACGGATTTATTTCTCTTCAAAGTATAATCTTACAAATACATTGCAAACTTTCTCATTATAATATTTATGTGTTAGAACCGCTTCAGATTTACTGGTGAATGTTCACACCCAGATGCCCAAATACGATCCTGCCAAACTGCCGGAACTCAATTTCTTATAACAAATCAAAAGTTTAACATCACTTATAAAGAGTGTCCTGGCATGAGAGGAACTTTTAATGGATGCAAGTATACAAACTGATATTCCACTTCACTCTTGTTTTAATAGATCTACAGTCATTAATCTTTTGATTCTGACCGTATGCAGTGGTGGAGTACAGTTGTCTTGGTGATTGGTTCGTGGATAAAAACCACTTCTTTGCGGTAGCAAACACAAAGGAATCAAGAAAGGACGAAAAATATCGTTGCTTCCTGAAAAATCGCGACGACGATCTCTACATAGGAGTATCTATAACAGCTGAATGTAATACACTAAAAACCGTGGAGAAGAGCCCTGAACGTTTGAGAGTGACACCAGTGAAAGCTGAGGTGGTAGAACCAGGTTGTCGATTACCAGAAAATATGACAGGAGAGTGGATAAATACAGCTAACATTGATGCTGACATTTTTATTAATGAAACTCACATAATTGAGACTTGGTATCCTGATGAAGGTCGTTATAGACGCACCATCTATGTATGCCGTGAACAAAGAGACACCAGAGTAATGATGGCTAGACTAACTGTTGATGGATGGTAAGTATATTTATGAGATCTTAATCGAATACTTTAATGAATTAACGAAAATATATTATTTACAGTCAAAAGGACTACGTGTGCTTTGATTTTGTACCACAGCATCACAACATTATTAGATACCGCCGTGGAATTGCTGTTATTAAAGATGATTTCTACACAGTTTGTTCCTGGGTACAATTTCCAAATAAAGAGTCTTGGAAATACGATTTATTCCTAGGTAACTTTCTTATTTTCATCAGTAACAGTTAAATAGCTTTGAAATCCTAATGTTATTTCCATTGATTTGGATGCATCATATTTGTTTTTTTTTTTTCATAGCCAAACATCCGGTACCTGTCCGCTGTCCAATAGCTGGAAAATATATGTTCACTCAAAAAGGGGACATCCCCTTTGAGACAAGAATTTTGGGCGGCGTTACACTCTCGCCACGTCCCAACATTTACTGCCAAGAAAATATTTCTGACTTTTCCGTATGCGATACAGATCAGAAGGAAGTCGCCATTGATGAAAATTATTGTTTAACTATCGATAAAGTAGGAAGACCTGTTGATATTTACAGTAAGTAACTCTTAATAAAGCATCAATGTATTAAAGAGCTCAGCTACACAATCTATATAATTCTATTTACCCAGGTACACCGGATTACATAATGAAGTGTATTGGTTTTTGGAAAGAAAATTTGAAATCATATTTAATCACATATGATGAGTTGGATCCATTCAGCAAATATCGCTGTTGGGTATATCAGAGAGCTGATTTAAATCGAGTATTGATGTCCCAAGCCATAGGACCATTTTGTGACCTTGAACAAGACGTCACTAGTAGCAACTATTCTGAGGGTGCTGCTGTTGCCCTAGAATTGCAGGTAAATTCAATTACCCATATTTATTTATATACAAATTATAAGAATTCTAGAATAAGAAAAGAGAAATAACTGTTATACGTATAGGAATATGAACGTGAACGTGACCAATGCCCAATGCACTTTGATGATGGCAGCAACCCCTGGGTGGAAAGTGAAAATTATAAAAAAATATTTCACTTTGGTAGTGGAAATACATTGATATTCTCAACCTCAGCTGCATTGATCATAGTCTTTATCAATTTCTATAATCTGGTGTATTGAAACTTCATTAATTCTGATGAGGTATAAATACTTAAGATACAAGCAAAGGAACAAGAACACAATCTCGTATGTATTTAGTTTTCACGTTTCATTGCTCATTACGTTTATAAATCTTTTATAATCTCGCATCAAAGAAATATTTAGCATATGTGCGATGAATTTTATATTTGACAAAGAAAATGGGTTTTAATTTCAAACATAATTCAGGGAATGGAATGACATTTGTCATTTCGTAAGTGCCTTTTCGCGAATAGTGTAATTTTTTAGTAAATATTTTAACGCAGCTAACATTCCAGTTATGATGTATATCTCATTGTCATATGAATTATTCTAAACCAAATCACATACATACATGCTACAATTTTATAGATATTTACATAATACATTATTTCTTAGTATCCCAATAAGGACCAATGATAGAATCTCTTGTTCTAAATGATCTACATTTTTAGGATCTCAGCAAAATCCATTACTAATGATTATAATATAGTGCAATGTTAAACACTAAGCATCCTTTATTTTATTATATGAATTTATATACATTATAGATTATGAATTATTTGATACATTTATAAACGGCAGTTACTTTATCATTGAAATGATGCTAACCTGTTTATTATTTTTATGACTGGTACTCCTCTACCTTGAGTGGAGATATCGTGTTCATAATTTTTTTTATAAATTACTTCAATAAAAAAAATTTGAATCTGATAAATTATGAATAACCTTATTTCGTCCAACTGACTTTAGGAATGTCAAAGTGCTCTGTTAGACTGTCAAGATGTCTATTGAACACTTCAACACGCTGCTTGTGCGTCATTGAAGCCTTCTGTTTAATTCTTTCCGTTTGCTGTAAACAATTGTTTCGTTCAGTATGCAATATCGTTTTATCAATTATTACATTATGAATTAGTATAGATCAAACTTACCATTTTTTCTTGCATCTGTTGAAAGGCAAGTTCAGCCTTCGTCCTTTTAATTTCCACCGTTTTAGTTTTGTCTTCTTCAATGATCTTCGAGACCTCCACCAACTTTTTTTCTTTCTCCTTTTTATGCTTCCTTCTAAAATAATCAATTTACAACAATAAAATTATTACATGTCCATGCTATATAACAAAAATATAAACAGTAGATAATTTTACTAAATCTTGTTTACAACCTAAAATAACAACACTACTCACTTTTTACTGACAGACTGATCGCCTTTTAATTTTAACGAGCTCTTCGCTGCGTGAGCATATGGATCGTCGTTTCCCGTTGCTGACATTTTCAAAAATCGTATAAGCCGTTTCGCTCAACTAACAGAAATTATCAAATTTTACTTTACACAGCAAAAACCAACCTCAAGAATCACGACGTCAATCCATGTATGTCGCGTCACTGGAGTTTCCTTTCTTCCTTTTCTTTATGGCTGTATTCTCAATAGGGGACGTGTGTCAGTAACTTGTCCTATATAATCAAGATTGGAAGTTCAACACTAGATGGCGGTATACCTCACGAGACGGGCATAACATAACTGCGCAATCCCTACTTTAAGTCCTTTGAAAAATGGATAGTTCAAATAAATAAAGAGTGAATGAGATGGCGGCCAATTGCTCTCCTTTTGTAATTCCGCCATCAGAAAGCGCTCAAATTATCGCCAGAACTTGGAGCGCTCATTCTTCCTCGAGCCGGTCTCCTATATGTATAGGGTGCTTTCCATTTACTGGCACAAGTTGACACAAGTCGACTTGTGTCGCCAAAAGTGCTTTCCATTTGATTTGTGTCGCCGTGTGTCGGCAACACAAGTCAACTCGGGAAGACTCTGCTAGAGTGGTGAGTTTACGAGAGTATCTGTGTTCCATTTATTCGTTTTCGAGAGTCGACATGAGTCGACACGAGTTGACACAAGTCGACATAAAAGTCATGTAAATGGAAAACACCCATACTGGTCTCTTGGAATCACCCCTCTTATCTATTTCAAACCTTCTTCTATTTCTATATTTATTTCTCCTTAACTTCCTTATTTCTTTATCTTTCATTCTTTTCCATTGTGCTTGTCTTACTTTTTCTATTTTCTTGATCGAGTCGAGCATATTCATTCGAGTAGTTATATAAAGGTACTCACCCTGTAGAGTAGCTACACGTATAGACCATGGTGTCGGGGGTTGCCCTTCCGCCTTATCAGCTGATTTCAGATTTTTGTGTCATTATCTAATTCTATTGATTTGATTATTTATTTCAATATTTCAAACACTTAATTTATAATTATTTCAATTTGAGCATAATTTATTTTCGACAGTTTACAATTTCAATTCAATTTTTTTCTACTCCGTATATTTTTCGAGTCTTTGATTTAGCCTCAATTTTATATCATGAATAAATTTCGAAAATAAGAATACGTTCAACCAATCACAAAAGTGCGACTGGTTCGAGGCTCCTCCGTCCAGATAGCGCGTTGACACCGAAATAAAACTTGGAATATAAAAATCAGCTCATTGGAAATCTCCCTACTCATCTCTGTTGTAACGTTGAACATCGCCTTACTCATCTCTGGTTGCTATCTTTTTCTTTCAGCCGACCATTTTTCCTATGTCTATGCATAGTTCATACTATACGCAGAGATGAGTAGGGAGATTGCCAATGAGCCTGTTTTTGGTGGTCTCAATTTTTCTCTGGTTTCGGCGCGCCACCTTAGCGGAGGGCCCTCGAAGCAGTTCCACGTTTTTGATTGGTCGTGCATATATAGTAATACTACGCGTGATAATCTGGAGCTGTGTTTTGGCGCGTCGACGCGCCACCTGAACGAGACGTCGATGACTGCACCGCCTGGCACATCTCCTCATTGGAGGAGTCAGCCATAAGGAAAGAAAGGAAGGATGACTGCACCGACAGCTAGAGCACTTCGGAAAAGCGATAACAATGCTACAATCGAAACTTCGATAAAACCTGACATGGTTTTTTTGGAAAAGGAAACTAGTTAGAAAGAGGGAATACAGATAATATAAATAAAATTTACTCTAAGAACACATATTTCAAGAATACATTAGTAGTCAAGCTTCCATTTAAAAATGGAGTACAGATTTTATTCCTTTATATATACATAACACAACGGTCATACGATATTTTACGAATCATAATAAATATGTTGAAGGTTGTTAGTCATTCTAAATTATTTACGCACTGACTAAAATACGTTGGGGTGTACATATAAGACTTGATTGATCATAGTATCTAATTGTGAATTTTCATAACTTTGAGAACTTTGCCTTTGCGCCGGTTGCCATACCGCATCATATCGTATCAAATACCATTAAATTTATCATATCTCCTAAGTTTTATTACGTTAAATAAATTTAAAGTAAAAGCAGATAAATCTAGACGGTTTTCAAAACGAAAATATAAAAATTTCTCTTAAAGCTATACGCCCTTAAGATTTTTCGTAGATGACTATAATTCACCGAGCGTTCTTGCATAAGCATACCTTTAATTTGCCATTCTTCAAATCATCGAACTTCAATTGGCTGAAGCTTACAGTTAAGAAATATGCTACGATAATGACTTGATTTCAAAACAATCTACCGAACGCTTCATCCCTCCCAATTAACATTTGATCCCAATTCCGTTCATTGGTGTCTTGGGCTCCTATATTGTAAACGGCATGTTTAGTTGCACATTAGCGAACACCACTTTTAGAGTGTGCTATAAGCCATTGTAATGTTATATCGATATTGTCTTTTTCTTTGCATGAAATGCTGTAACAGCATATCTCGCGATCCTGGATAGCAGACAAGTTCCTAGAAGGGAATAAACGTTATGTAGTGTTATAAATAAACACACTGTCCAATGACTAATACTGCTGACTTTGCTACTCACATTCTTTCTATAAGCCCATTTTCATCTAATGCATGTGGCAAATCCCTTTTATTACCAAGCACCAATACAGGAATGCCAGTTAACTGAGGTTTGTCCAAAAGACTGTGAAGCTCATTACGGCTAGCTTCAATTTTCTCAGAATCGGCAGCATCCACCATATAGACAATGGCATTAACTCCTCTACAGTACCGTTCCCACATTGATCTAAACCTTGGTTGGCCTCCGATATCCCAAACTTTAATAGTGACATTACCCTTGGTTATTTTACGCATGTTAAAACCCACAGTGGGTATCATGTCCTGGCTGAACTGACCAGACTGTAAATAAGAATAGGCATAGATAAATATTACCATCCAAGTAAACGACAACGTATTAATAACAGATTGGTTGTCAAAAGTATTAAGAACTTAAGAAGAACAGAGTATGAGATCTAACCAATAAGGTTGGCTGATTCTTTAAAAAGGTTTGTAACGGCGCAAGAAAGCTACAAATGCACTAATATAAAAAATTGTTAAATTAATAAAATCCGTGTATTCACAATTTCAGCATAATGTCCGTAAAAGCAACGTCTTACCGCTATGACATTAACGAAGGTAGTCTTCCCACTGTACTGTAGTCCAACCAGCGTGAGTTCCATTTCTTCCTTCCAGAATAAAGACTTGAACCAGTCAAGGATCCGATTGATTAACGCCAACATTGTGAGTCCGTCAAACTGAAGTCTAGATAACCGAAAATACTTGCTTACTGCACGGCACTTGAATTGAAATTTGACATGTAGCCGTTCGCATAGAGCGATCAGCAAACGACGTCAGCCTGTGGCTGTGGCCGTGCTGCTGTAAGGCGTGTACCACGCTAGTCAAATTTCAAACTTTAACTAAACTCAACACCTGCTACTCATATAAAATAAAATATTCCCTAAATCAAAGTATTCTCAATAAATTTTAGGAGAATAAGACACAATAACTACATTCTCAATTGTTAATATAAAAACGCATAATCTCTCATGTCTAATCACAATATTCGAACGTTCTTGACAGTTAAGATGTTCACGCGGAGCAGAAGACTTTTGTAACAGTGATTCTCAAACGAGCACAAACTAACATAAACTAACCTAAACCTAAACGAGGATTACATGTATAAAAGACACATTTAATGATTATGCCCTCGTTATTAGACATCTTAATTTCTGCGTCAGTTAAAATGATATAATTATTATTAACCGTCGCGTATATTTTTGTTTAATTTGCACAGTGACCTCATGAAATGAAGAAATCGTCAGGCAACCATCACTGTGAGTCATCTAAGTGTAACAGAAATCTCTTAATAATTAATTCTTTAACGCTCCTCTTTGTTTGACTAAGATCAATGGCTCAGTAACAGACATTTCCAGTGACATTTCTGGAATAAAAATCAATGTACATCATTACAATTTTGGTCGCGTATTACACAGTGTTATTATAGGCTTGACGTCACTGGATGTCATCCTGACAAAAATGGCCGTGTGACGACGGCAGTATCTTCCCTTGTTGAATTTTGTACGTAACAATCTAATCAGCTCCTGTCCTATTATTGACAAGACTTTTAACGATACGTTTGCATATGGACACCGCGCGTAAGACATTATGACTAATATCGGTCCAATGACGTTAAAAGGATCAATGATATGCTCATATATAAAATAATAACCGCAACGATAATAATAATGAACGATTTATTTTTTGTAATATACATAATTTCTGTGTACAATATTTGATTGATTTTATTCGACATATCTAATTTCGTTGTGCGATAAAGGTCCATTCTAAAAATATATATGCATTTAGCTATATACGTTTCATCTGTCTATACAGTACCAATAGCATTGAAAAGAAAACAAAGCTTTCAAAAGATACTTTGATTATCGATTAAGAATCCAATACTTTTTTTTTATATTGTGTAAAAGATTATTTGACTTTTGATAACTGGCAGTTTTCTTGCATTCGCGGCGAAACTACTTGCAACAAAACAACCGTAAGATTCGCCGCGATATAGACCCTCCACATATTCGTCTCCATTCTCATCTATTAATACGATTGGCTATAAGTGCGCCTATTGTAATTACAAAAAAAAACACACCTATTACAATTCCAATAAGACTGCGTATCGTTATGGTCTATCTTCAATCTGCGCGAAGTGCGCCAAAAGTTAGCAACAAAAGCAACAACCAACGCCTGCCCTTTGTACCGATGCTATATATAAAATGGTTGACAGAGCGAGTACGTTAACTTTTGGGATACCCCGCGCTTTTGAAAAATTCTTTATATTAACGTTATGTACAAAGCCGCAAAAATAACAATTTATTTTATATATATATATATATTCATAAATATATATTAATTAATATTATGAGCATGAATTATGGTAAGGACTTTTCATTCTTCCAAGTATTCGATGTGACAGCACTACTTTTCCTTCTGTTTAAAGAAAAGGGTTTAATGTTTTTAAGAATTGTTAAGGAGGCGGGCGAGGCTGAGAGCATAATGGCCATTATTTTGAAATACAATGGTATAAAACTAGCCTACCTATATACAGAATGACCAAAGGCGCGTTATTTCGCAATAAGAGTGATGATTTTGTGTCTCTGAAATATATATATATATATAGTGTATGTGTGTATAATAATGCAATACCGATGATCATTTAAAAACAGTCATCACTCCTGACTCGCGCTGTCGGATTGAATTATGCTCGTGTGAATCGCTCTATTATACATGAACAATAATTTTTATTATGCATGTAATATTTGCCTGTGAAGCTGATCTGTATTCTGTATGTACGTGGATAAGGAAGACTTAATTACTTCATCACCCCGAGAGGACGATTTCGAAACGTTTGATTGGTTATGACTCAAAAGGATTAACAAGTATAATTTTCGGCAATGGCATTTGAATCACTTTTGATTTTTATCACCGTTGGCCCATCGAGATGTGTCTGTTCTTTTTCGAGGTACAAGAATCGGCCGTGACATTGTCAGCATTGAGAATACAGATTCTTGTTCTGGCTCGGTGAGAAATATTAGGGTGGCCGTCGATTTTACTTTTTGGCTTGACTGCATCCAGGACGTTTAATGATCGTATAAAATTCACAGAAGGACTTAAAACAGCCATTCCGTTGAAAGCGTATGTAGTCCTGCGACAGATCCATGATCCTCGAGATCTTACAATTAGTCCGTTTTTCCGTCCACTTCCCCCAGAAGATTGGGATCCGCGTGGTTATAGTAAATCATCGACGTGGTAAATGGATTTCGATGATTAAATGTAATTACAATATCACAGACCCAGTTAAACGCGGGCGTACGTATTTGCGGAATTTTTGTACTCTTGGACCAATTTTTTAGTTTAAAACTTTATAACAAGAACGATGAGTCCCGTCCCAGGGAGAAACCACGCATGCACTTTCTGACACAAGAGCCGGTTATATTATGTTTACAGATCTGCACGTGTTACACAGGACCACCCGCCATTTTATAATACAATTCAATACGTTAAAATACGTGGAATATTATTATTGTACCCGGTATACGTGCGTTGTAATGGTTGCGTACTTGATCCGAGTGGTCGCAGCGTGTGCGCATGCGTACACTCGTCCGTTTCTCTCGAGTCTCTTCAGCGATGTTAAACGAAGCTCACGCAATTCTTTTTTCTTTAATTAATCCTTACTCACTCGCTCGAGACGAAGGGTTTACGTAAATTTAATTCAGACGCGGCTAGGCTCTCGCCCTTAATATAATAATCGGCAGGGTCCCTTCTTCTGCTAGTCGATCCGTTGGTGAGGTTCGTCTCGTTGCCGCTAGAGGAGTTGACGGCGCTCTTGCTGGAAGCAGTCGTACCGTTGGCCACGCCGTTTGACAATCCTGTGCCAGCACTTCCGTTCGCCAACGCCTTTGCGGCTGCAGCCTTCGCCCTCCTCAGGTTCTTCTGTGCGTAGCTCTGCTGGTAAAACTCATTGAAGAGGAAGAAGAACATTACGGCATGCATGCCGATCCACCAGACAAATGCCTTGGGATAGTTGCAGTCTATGAAGAGAAGCTGGAAGGCGTGAATCATAATGGCGATGAACTGAAGCATCTGGAAGGCAGTGAGGTATTTCTTCCACCAGAGGTAAGGCTGCATTTTTGGACCAAAGGCAGCCAAGAGGTAGTAAGAGTACATGACAATGTGGACGAAGGTGTTCAGGAGCCCAAAGAACGTCGAATGACCACCTGCAAACAAATGTCATTATTTTTTAAAATAAACTTTATCGACAAACCATTTACATTTTAATCAACAGCTTGAGTGGAGTAGCCTCCGTATTTTCTCGAGGTTGTACAAAATTCCAACGACTAGACGACAATCCTTTCGCTTTCTCTATTACAAGCGAATAGCCCACGCAATGCCATTATATCGCGAAACACTCAGAGAACTCTAAGAGCTACGAGACACTATATTTAGGGTGGTATTATTATACATATACATACCGGGTGTGAACTTGACGCCGAACCAGACGGACATGGGCATACAACCATGATGGATTACATGGAGAGTGGACACGTGATCATTTTTCTTTCTCAGCACAAAGAAAATCTGAAATACAAAAATTTTCACATTATTAAATCATATTTCCGACACGCAGCAAAAATCGCCTCGCTTCTGAATAATCATCGTGTTTCCGATTCAATCACGATCAACTTACCGTGTCCATGAATTCCGTGAACTTGGAGAAGTAATACCACCAGCTGGCATAAACCATCTGCATTCGATAGAAGGATTCATTAGCGTTACACGTTTAGCCGTTTTTTTTTTTTTTCAAACAATAGTAAGAGTACCATTGGCAGTAAAATGTCTGTTTGTTTGTATGGGTCTTACGGTGTCTGGCATATTAGCATGTATCAGATAAACGTATAAGAACAATGGATTACGTGATGACATGAGAAGTAAACGAGTAACTGTGCAGTCTTTATTGGTTGATTACGGAAAAAAAAAAAAAAAAAAAAAAAAAAAAAAAAAAAAAAAAAAAAAAAAAAAAAAAAAAAAAAAAAAAAAAAAAAAAAATTGTTAATGACATGTATATGTGCTCATGTTATATATTATGTGCTGTTAATTGCATTATCCAAGTGTTTAACTACTTTTGCATTAGCCTCACGTGTTATGTGTACTACGAGAGTTTACGGAGTGGACAGGCTTATTGTGGTATATATATGCGATTTAAAAGTCACACAAGAAATTGTCATCTGCAGTCACGACGACCAAGGCAATTTTTTTTGGACAATTAAATTCGCATCTACGTGAGTGAGAGTGCTACCGCTGCTACTACGGAGAGATTGAGAAAATTAGGAGTGTGTTATTTCCTTTGTTAATAGAAAACGCACCCTTAATACTTGGGGTCGATCGCTGTAGTCTACCGGCTGACACCTTAGAGAATAGTCCCCCGTCAGCCATCCGGACATTCCTATCTGCAACCACATCCGCCCAGAGGCCATCCTCAGTTAATGAAAAATAACCGTAACCAATAACCGTTCGCTCCCACATGACTTTTATCATTAATAACGAGCGACTACCTTCCTTATATCATTTTTTTAATTATGTCATTTGTCTGCAACCACTTTTGTAACTTCGATCGTTTCTACGTGTCGAGTATCGAAGTGAGGTTAGGTCCTATGACGTGAAAAGGTAATACAGTCTGCCGAAAGGACTCACTCGACGCAACATTCGGCTTTGACCTATCGAGTATAAAAGTGAACGATAATATTCGATCAGACAATTAATTGCAAATGGATAGGATTTTTGATCACGAAAAAAAAAAGTTATTACATTCAGGCCGTCGCGAACTCATTTTGATTCTTGTTGAAGAGACAAGGTAGAGAATTATTTGTAATATAATCGAAATACGAAAAAAAAACATGAAAATTTAGTGATCGAGAAATTAAAATTTATCAGGTTGGCTACTGCCGAACGGTTCGGACGGTTTCTGCAACTACATATGACAAAGCCTGGAAGGTACGTCGCATAAATTTTTGTTGAAAACTTTCGATCTTACTACTCACTGTAAGCATAAAAATGTAGTAAGGGCAAACGTCTCTTTTTCTTTCCAATAAAAAGCGTTCATACGACAACAGATGGCATTATTATATCGACACAAATATATAACCATAATAATTTCAAACTGCCAATCCCATTGCCAGCTACACTGTCGCAAGGCCCTGACCAATCAGCTACGATCTTCAGCACTACGCATGCGCAACTGCGACCTCAAGTCGCGTACTCTGGAAAGTGTGTTAGTAAAGAAAAAAGCGTACTACATCAAGCATAGTCTACGACTACTTAATCCAACGATCCAATATACAAGCTCCGGATGATGATCGGTTGTGATCTCAGTTCGATGGTTCGTCACGTGATCTCGCTGTCTCCCTTACGTCGACGTCTCCACCTCTCTATCTTTCTCTCACTGTCAAAAGTCCTGTGGAAACTCAAATCATATTACTTACCCTGACCGCCGTCGGGCTGTTCGAATAGTCCACGGGTTGACAGCGAAAGCTATAGTGGCCCCACCATCCGCCCATCAGGCACTGTATTCCCAAAAGACATGTTACCCGCTCTTGATTACTTGCAGCATCACCGATAAGAGTTATCAACGAGGTACTGATTATAATAATTAATGAACCATTATTATTCTTTACGTTGGATATCATCGAGACCCGTTTGTTTCAGATTGCAGTTGGATAATTGTCATTCTCATTAATAACTCCCTGGGATCGCTGCTCGTTCAACGATCGTCAATCGATCCTGGACCAAAGTTATCACGTGGTAAAGTGACACGGATCAGCAATAACAATTAATGATTAATAATTTAATCTCGACTAAGAAGTGACAATGGTACCAGGTCTACATGGAGGATCGTCATAGATTGCGGTATAGGTTGGTCCTTGATTATAATTAAATGACATGCTATGTTAATACGTGGGTATATATATATATATATATATATATTAGATTAATATGCATTTATCCGATCAACAGTCTGATATGCATCACTGATAAAACTCACCTCGTAGAAGAGCCATGCCGAGAATATGACTTGAAACAGATTGTACGCTATGAGGACATTCTTAAGCTGAAAAGGCTTGCGATTCTCCATGATTTTAGGACCCAGGACCTTCACGAGATAGACATATCCCAGGCAGATAAAAAGTGTGGGAAATGGTGAACTCATCAAGAACCAGTTTGTCGTCCGCGAGTCTGGAAGTACGAAAAATATACCGTTAAGAGGATTCGTGACGATGACGATGAATATTTAGTGGTCATTAAGCGAAACAAGCCGAAAGATGTTATAGTGATTTCAGCATTTGAATGAAGCTCGCGTGAGGAGATAATGGCGTATGGATAATATAATGTTTTGAATATAAGAACACATGCGATTCGATGTCATTTGTTCCTTTGACTTGGAAACACACGAGTCATTTGTCACTTGACTTGAATGTCATTAGAAACATCAGCCAACAGAGCAGACGCTAATAATTGACATTGGATGCACTCTGCGAAACGCAGTGGCGGGAATTATTAGGTAACGAAATTTGTCATTTCAGCATTTTGCGAGTGATCATGAAAATTAATTGAATCATCAAAACAGTCTAAAGACCTACGTCAGTAATGGGATTTTTACTGTATAAACCAAGGAGTATCAAGGTGTCAATGTTTTAAACAATTGTTAGAACGCCAAATCTTTTATGGATATTATTGAGATGACATTTTAATTGATTAATCATTATATATGAATACTGAAAATTTTCCTATGCCTGTCTGGTATAACGTTAATAGTCACGTACCGTTAAATATATTCATTCGGAAATGTCCGCGATGATGTCTGGAATTATCCAGAAGGTTATGTTAAAAAATGTTAATTCCTGATGACTTGTTCCGCAGACGAAATGTCAATATGCAAGAAATGAACTATGATCAGTCATTAATGAAAAAAAAAAAGTTACGGGACATAACAAGTCATTCTAGGGAATTTTCTATGACGACAGCTAATCTATAGAAAGATTCCCGATTAACGTTATGGATTTGCTATTAGAATTTGAAACGCTAATCGTTTTATTTAGCAGTTGCTAAACTTCCTTCTAACGAAAGAACATTGAACAGGATAGGCATTAACCCAGGCCTGAGTATATGTACGTTCTGGTATACATAGATATACTTATGAGACACGAGTTAAAACGATCATTGACGTGACTCTCAAACTTGAAGTCTATTTGACATTGAAGACTTACAATAGGAACTTAAGCTTCCAACAGTGGCTCCCCTTTGCATATTATAATCATTACTATCGGCAACATCCGCCTACAAGTCATTACGTGTACTTTTTAAATCTGGAAACTACCGGGGAACTACCACCTTTCAAGATCATCTCGTATACACTTAACGCGTGGTAAGTGCTAACCATGAGGCACCACACATCTATTAAAATTGACATCATCGAGTAGCGTCATTAAATTACTCGGACGCGGATACCACGTGCGAGTAAAAAAAATTGTAAAAAATATCAAAGAATTCGTATAATCTAATAACGCTAATGAGGTTAGGTTAAGTTAAGTCAGGTAAGGTTAGCCAATAGATTCTCAAAATAAATATGACTATTTACATGAAGATGAAGAATGGAGGTACTCTATATGTATATATTTGAGATTAACATAAAAATAACTATGTTGTATTATTGCTTACTAATTAGTGTAACGAAGCTTTTAGCGACATGCAACGAAGAAGGTTAAAGTGTCTCGTAACGCAAAGCGCATGTTTTAATCAGGATACATTGAATATTGAGCATTGAATATTGATATAAACAGAACGATCTGGAATTCATTTTTCACCTCGATTAGCATCTACGCACGAAGTCACCGTTGTTTTTTGCCAGTTCTCGATACATTTAATATGCATACGAGTGATTCCACCAGACTTCAACCACCCGTATTTTATTTGCTGTGCTACGTGAATTCGGTTGTTTTTATTTTGTACACAGTTATCCCGGAGACGGTGCATCGTATCAAAAAATTATAAAAAATGAAACTTTTGTACTCTTTTAGTATCTACGATAAAAAAAAATTATAAAAAGAAAATTTATCCGTATATACACGTAGCACAGCAAATAAAATACGGATGGCTGAAGTCTGATTGAATCGCTCATATAAAAAAATTAAACATCAATGCAATGAAGTAACGATTGGCATACAAAATAGATTAATAAAGATTGATGACGTGCATATTATTTGCTTTAGTCGTAAGAAAATAATTTTCTTGTCTCCCTCACTCCGATTGCCTCCCTACCTTTTCCCACTGTTTACGAGAAAACGTTATAGAAGGTGAATGAAGAAGCATAAAAACGAAAGAGACGTACAAAGTGCGACAAAAGAATAATTTCATCGAATCTCATATGAGCATTTATTAACGACCATATCCGGTTATTGTTATTGTCCAGTACCTAAGAAATTAACATGGAAAATAAGTCTCGTGCGTTCGTGAAGTTATTTACAATTTTCAAGTAATACGTTTGCAGTAGACTTGAAAAATTAGCCTTCGGATATCGAGAGGCCTCACCAAAGTACGTAGTCATTGCTAACACGGTCTATATAGTCTGAATCTACTGATTATTATTTTAATTTTTCGTTCGCGTTTGGGCCTGATTTTATTGGGAATTATTCCCGAGTGACGCACGTCGAACTTACCTGCATGTTTGTCCAACATCTCGTGGAACCGGTCCACGTACTGCATTATGATTGACATATTGCTTAGGGCGTCCCCTCAAGGTTCTAACGAGGAAAATCCTGGTTGGCGAGTTGCCGCGTCGCTTCTTGAAAACTCGACCCTACGTATCTGCAACAAAGGAATAATTCATTTGTTTTGATTTTCAAGTTTGCATGCACGGTCTTGGTATGTTTACCCTTATGATAATAAGTTACTTGTAACGTGTGTATCAAGCTTTAAAGTACGCTACTGGAAATGTGTGACGTCCTTGCGTTAACAATAGTGAAGTTAGCACTTGGATGCTCAGCGTCTTGAACGTCCCCATACGTGATCGAGGGCGTATTACTTAACGTCTATGCTTCTTCTCTTTTTCTCATTCTATATATATCGGCTTGAAATACGGTCTCGCATTCATTCTTCTATCAGTCACGATTATCACTCCCACACTTGACGCATCGAGCATCGCTGCTCCGGCGCTGACTTCTCGGATCATTCCTAAAGTAATTGAAGCACGAAGCTACTACGAATTACTACGAGCTTCCTCGGGCGACTACGAGTATATGAAATGAGGGGCGTCGTTCAGTATATAGACAAGAATAAAAGCCATTGGTCGCTTTGGTAATACTGTAAATTTCGCTTTCAATGTGCAGCCGAGTCTTCATCAAGGCCAATCGACTACAATTCAATAGGTGTCATCATCACTGGCGCGGCGTCCAACGTCACGGTCGGCGGACTCTCTTCGGTACTCCTTGAGAAGCCTAACTGGGGGCGCATTTCGTATCGCGCAAGATTATTATAAGTAATAAAAATTTTATTACAGAAGGTAATGGGGTAAATAAAAATTAAATACAGCAAATGCGTGACTGTAAGCAATATAGACTTTTCTGTATCTTCTGTCTTCTTAAATGTTCGCCAGCGGGTACCGTCTAATGCGTCTATTCGGTATGAGGCCTATTTGTCAATACCTATCAACGCGATTACCTGTCCTGCTCGATACTCAATTGTGTAATACGATCGGACGCGATTGAGAATTGATTTCGCGTAATTGCATTCGTTACTAATTCAGCTTACTCGACCTACTGACACATTGAGGGTATTACCGAATAGGACTCATCATTCGTTTCTGTTACGTTGTTATTATTATTAGTCTATACCATTCTGATATCTATAGCGATACTGTGCCTATCGATCATCCAATTCAGGATTGGTAGACTGCACGGGACTTTCGCTATGTAACAGTAATCACTCGCACGATAATAGGGTCACGTAGAGAAAGGGAATGTGATACACGATCTAGAAGCCGTTTATCTGGGAGTATCGTGTTGGTCGAGAATTTCCCAAGACGGATAGCTCAATGAAGGATGAAAAATGTACGAATAATTTTTCCATTGACGAAAATCGATTTTTCTCGAAATGAAAAATTTGCGAATTAGGTAGATTAAGATGCCTCGGAGGTATAAAATCGAAGCGCTGTAATGTTTCGACCGAGTGGCTTCCATCGTGAATTTACACGATCGTTTAATTACCGTAGCGAATCAGACTAATTGACGATTGCGCAAGGTGACTAATTGGCTGTGTGGTCTATTTTGCCCTTTTAAATTTCTCCCCTTTGTTACCCGTGCATGTTTCACATTGTTTAATTTTCTTTCTTTCTTATGCAACACGTGCGTTCTTTCGCGGAAACTGCGAAGTAAAGCTTTCGAATGAGCGCGCGCTTGAGCGAAGGAAGTGAGGATAAAAAAAAAGAGAGAAAAACGCGAGAGGGGATGGCCCATCGTCGGGTGTCGCGCACGTTGCAAAATAACGAACGGCTAACCGTCGAAAACGCGCCGAGCAAGCAAATACTCGAATTGCGAAAACTGTATATATTAACGCTACAGAAAATGGGCCGCACATGGGCAAGCTTGCGCAAATATTCGTCAAATGGGCATATTGAGGATGTTGTAAAAAAAAGCAGAAACAAAAAAAATGTCAAACGATTCATTGAGGAATTTTCACGCAAGGATCCATCCCGCCGTGCACTGCGATACGTCAACCTAGTTTACTTGCAGTCACTGTACTAGCTTGTTGCTCGAGCGTAAACCGAGTCCAGCCGATCTTAGCCGATCTGTACTTGTGCGCGGAATAAAAAAGGTAACTTGTCGTGAGATCGTATCGAGGTCGGGTTTCCGGTACATAGAAAAATTCGAAAAAACTTCGATACGAGATAAAAATTTAGGTTGAATCAACGTCAGAGAATTCGAGAGAGGTGAAGGAACTCGTGATGAGCAATGTGACCGTGAAGAAAATCAGAATTTATTATTTAACGAAAGTGTAACAGAGCCCGTCGTAAACACGCCCAGAGCATTGGCACGTTTGGCGACCTGCTCGGCAGACATCCTATACGTAGAATGCTCAGGAGCAGCCAGGTTAAAAGGAAGAAAAATCATTTCAGTATACTTTTGCAATGCTTGCTAAATACTGGTTTTCATGAAAATTCATATCCCATTGAAGAATGTATTATTTATTATAACGAACAACTTCGAAGGAATTAGTCATTTATGTGTTCACGAAAATGCAAGTGAGTTCGTTGTACACCCACCTACGACATTGGCACGCCAAACGTGCCCGAAACGACAGCCTATACGTCTAGCGATAAGGAAGCTGTGATTTAAAAACAAAAAAAAAATTAGTATAATTTTCATAAAAACATTTACTTAATACTGAATTTAAGCACTTAAAATACTGGGCACACCAAAACTTATTTTACGAAAGCCGATCTATGATTAACCACCCACCACCACAACGTGATACAGACGTTCCAACGACGCGGTATTGTATACTGGTTTTCCGTGCCTGTAAGCCTTAACGAAATTTCTGTACTATCCTCACTTCACGTTGTTTATGTACCTTATGACGTTATTCGCATAAATAGTTCTCCGCTCATGCACATTATGCGTTTCATAAGTCTTCCTGAATCAGATTGTACTAATTGTATCTGAATACAGTGTTCACAAAGTAAATACCAATATGCGGTACAAGTTCCAGCAGCGAAATCCCACGATCACTGACAAGTTACAAAAGGTAATGAAAACCTGTCCAGGTGTGGCAAACCGCGCGTTAAACCATAACTTAACGTACTTTGTATAAGCAAACTTAACGCACGAGGATCAACCGAAGGTTAGCATTAAAATATCCGTGTAATAAGTTTGAGGTTATGTCCCCAAGTACATTCTTATGACTTACGACGTAATTTCCCTGTCTTGACTAGGTTAACCTACTGTCGAGTTACATACGTATGATTTACGTGTTTCGTACATAAATTCGATTATCGAATACGAGTGTCACTTTATCATTATGATTGCAAGAAAATTAATACAAGCAAATTTCAGCAAGGATACTGATCTTGATACTAAAACAGGTGCCTAATGAGCTGTCGAACCTATCCCAGTAGAATAGTTGAAGGCTGGTACGTATGTACTCAAGATAGAAGAAGTAAACGAACGAAAGAGCGAACGTTCGTACAGGCGTGCAAGCCGTCAGGGAAAGTGCATAGCTGCATGAAGTTGCAACTCGTGGTGCTGCTGTAACGCATTAATGGCGGCAAACCTGTGCCAGGTAGAGGAGCGAGCGAGAGGGAGGTAGCCGGGAATCCTCTTATATAAGAGGCATATTAAAGTCCTTTCTTAAAGGCGATGCCAGCACAAGACAAAACCGTGAGGCCTTTTTCGACGAGGGGCGACACCACACTTAATATTTCGACATTGTTGTACAGCCACGGAATGCGCTACAAAACGGAAGGTTTGGAATATGAAAAACAGGCAAATAAAACTATGGAGTAAAAAAGAGTCTAGTGTCTTGTGAAATAAAATTCTATTCATACACAAAGAGATGCTTGTAATTATTTTCTTTGTTTTTTACGTCCCCCGACGATGTCTCGATAAAACTGCGACTTCGCCATTTGGAAATTTGACTCGAACTCGTCGTTGCGGTTGTCCTCGAGACTTCATAACAGGAAGGAAAAAAAATACTAAACCCGCCATGTATACCGGTATGAATTTTAAACCTCGTAAAAACCTTGAGGAATCAATGGCTCATGATACCAAAGACGATCCCCTTGATACCCTCATTCCCGATATTGCAAATTATAATTTATAATCGACCAATGGATCAGCTACGAAACGCCCCCTTTTATGTTGTCATTTTGACTGACGATTGTTTTTTACACGCGACTGTCATTCTAAGCGGATTCTTATATATACTTATAGACAATAAATGGCTCATATCTCATGACTCGTAGGACCTTCGATCTTAACGATCCTTGTGTCCTCTTGTCTGAGGTCAATTTTTCCTCCTCACGCTAATCCGTACGTGATGGAATGACATAGGAACTTGCCAAGTTTACACGGATACGACCTCCCACGTGCTTCTCGCTACTGGCACCAAGAAGATATCGATAAGGAGGGTTTAAGACCCCGTGTGTCATGTATCTCAAAGAATACTACATGACAACCCCCTGCACAATTTCCATACCGGTTCGAACTACCTCATGTACCCACTGGGCCCCAATAGCCGCCAGACACAAAATCCCATAAGACTTTTAGCCCTGTTTACTAGTGGCCCCGCGGCGCTACCTATCGACGGTCTTCAAATTTGCAATGTTGCAAAACAAATATTTGTATTAATACATAATGGGTAATTAATGGTGGAAATTACTTACGTCATAGGTTAAACGACTCTCGCGTAATTTCTATGAAATATTAAATAGATTTTCGAGAAATTACTTAAACCATCCCCCTCCGACTCCCTTTTTTTTTTTAACGCACGATTTTTCTTATTTTTCTTTTGGCTATTTTTTGTATTTTCAATCCCCGTAAATATTTACGCGAATCGTATACGCCAATATTCGCAATAACGATTTCGTCTTATTCACGTGGTTTAAGCGAGACTTTTCGAAATAACACGGAGTACGCCCAATTGGCAGTCAGTATGACGACCCATTGATGGTTTCGTTGCATAACAATTACAAAGCAATAGCGTCGTACGTTGTATGGCGATTAGAAAATGTTTTACTTACAAGGAGGTTCTTGGTTTTATTAACTTGTTTGTCTGACAGCTTGCATCTAATTATATTTTCGTATAATTTGATCGTCCGTTGTCTATATGTGAATCGTGTCTTTGAATAGCTGAATATATTTTCGGTGGTTACGAAGAACAACAATAGCTATATGCAAGCGGCAATAAGGAAGCAAACGCATTTGATCCGTCGAACCGTCTTAAACGTTACAATAGTTGTGAAACTCGACCAATCGAACCCGATCGCGCAGCGCAATTGCTGCTGGACCTGTCGAATGTCATTTTTCCGAATTGAACGATCATTTTTCCTACTGTGCCCAAGCAGTTCTTGTATTTAAGGAATCAAAAGTAGAGTACGAAAAATTGATAAAATTAATGTCTAACTTTTATTAAAAAGTAATTAAATCTTGACGCGACGTATTTACTTACCCAATAGAGTCACTGACTTCAAATACCGCACAAACACTCTCAAATCCAGCGCCCTTCCCGCACTGAGGAACAATCGTCTAATCGATCCCTCGATTCTACGAATCGTCAATCGATCGATTATCGATTTTTACGTAAAACCGTCGCGTTTAATTTCAAAATAAAAAATTCCTTCTTTAACAGTCTTAAAAAATAAAAAAATACCAATTACGAACGATGTGATTTGAAAGTATTAATCAATAACAAAAGAAACGAGCGAACTGGTATAATTGGCTTAACTAGCGTTAACTATCGAGGTAGCGACGTTGACGAGGTAGGGTACGCGAATGAGCTGTCGTACGATTTGAGTGTACGAGCCAAAAGGAACGACTGGCCTTAAGGAAAATTAGCGACGTGTTCCGTTGTTTCTTTGGCGTGCTGACTGCCGGACGCTAGGCTGGAGCATTGCTTTTAACCGGGCCGCCATGTTGATACCACCTCTACTGCTGCACTTCTCGACTGTCCTTCCACGGCGGCTTCATTCTCGATTCACGATTCACAATTCACTATTCACCTGTGCCTCCTGTCCGCTCCACCTTCCTACCGTTCTCAGCTACCGGCGATACAAGTGTCCATCGATGACGTCACGATGGCCCTTCAAACTCTTTTTCCTGTTCGCGCGTCACCAGCCCCACGTGCACACATTAGAACCGGCTGTCTATGCTCTGTCTTCATTTTTAATTTAACCTCTTAAGACCTGCATCGTCATTGCGTCGGTTGACTATTGGTCGGTGTTACACGTATCTCGAACAATCGTGAAATCGAGCAGGTTCTAGTTCTATTTCTGTATTATTCCATCCTGGACGAAGGACAAGAAATCGCAATGTATACATTACCAATGGTCGAAAGAAATGATCCGGTGGCCAGTCAGCTGATTCGATCGCTATTTGATTGAGACATGAAATGATTGGCGGGTTGTGAAGAGGAAAAAAGAAATATTACGTGACGATTGTTATTGTGCTTCGATATTGAAGCCGTTGAAGTTGTTGGATACGTAATTACCCTTGATCTGTATTATAGATATTTTTTCCTTCATAATTCAGTAATGCATTTAAAATAACTCCTGGAGTCGGGAATTTCTTTTTAATTGTAGCCACCTTCAAAATTATATCTAACGGTATTAAGCTACATACGTGTTTGAGTGTAAATATAAGAATGGAAAACAAAATTTTTTAGTAAGAATAATTAATTAGTTACGCACTTCATATTTAAGTGGGCAAAAATAAAATGAATTACAGTGACGTTTTATTAATTTATAGGATGTTCACAGCAGCAATCACAGCGTGACTGACTAACGCGCATGTAAGGATCAGGTACAGATGTTAAATTATTTCTAAATAATATTATATAAAAAAAAGTGTTAAAATTGTTTTTTTACATCTCGTACCGATAAAAAAAAATACCACTGAAGAGAGATGGGACATAATTTTTTAAATGAATACATACCAAAAATGTCTCTTTTATAGTGAATTTTTATTTTGGAAAATTGACAGTGATGACGATAGCAAATTTCGCGATGAATTCTTATCGCTTTTTTTATCAGTTATTTTTACATATATTCATGAGACCCAGTGACACAGCTGAATTAAAAAGCTAAGTAGTTCGTGCCCTCTTCAGACAATCAAAATACAACGCCACTGATAATGAATTATAAATTTTCGTAAAGTGTCATCACTTGTCCTTTTGACGCTTGCTATGTTGCATTTCCGTGTTACACGTTAATACATTTTAAACATTATTCCCTTCCTTATGAAAAATTGATGCAAGCGATCATGACGCTCTTCCACCATTTTATTAACCTCCTTAATATATTCACAAAAATGTCACTAACTTGACAAACAAAAGTCCTAAGACATTATCGCGGGGTCGGACCATCTTGAAATTCCGATTGATTCAATGTCCACGCTGTATTTACGGTGCACGCGATGTGCGACATTCAACCTAGAGTCAATGATGTTGCAATTTTTATATCCAAGGTCAAGTCTGACGTTCATCCTTGTGAAAAGGTCTGTACACCTTACTTTTGTTTCTGCAGCGCGAGCTTTTAGCTTTCCTTAAAGAGTTTAGTAAATCGTGACCTTCCTCGGTCACGTTAATAAAATTAAATGACAGGTAAAAGTAAATTCGACTTCAACCTTTGATAATCCAGGAGAAGCGTTTCTTCTAGTAAGTATGATGATTTTCAGGAAATTTTTATAAAATTTTTGTTATGTTTACAGTGCCGCGCAAAAATGATAGACAGTCGATGACGCTGAGCAGACGCGGACGAACGTGTTCTTGCACGAGTCTTCCAGACATTTGTGATTCCATCCAACGCTCCAGCGGAACCTCTGTTATTTACATATGTATATATAAATAATTCTCGATCATTCGCTAGACTGTATGTCCCTGCGTGTGGTTGTCAGATGACGTTTTACAGTTCTTCTTCTTAATATACAGTATAGATATCTTGACTTACTAACACCATTTAATCGAATGATGCACGGTCAAGGGTTTTCCGCGCGTCTAAATGCATGCATAGAATTTAAATTTACATGGTGAATAGCATTTAAGAATCATAGGACGTGTAAAACGATTATGCGGAAGTAAGGTTAGAATCGCCCGAGGCTAGTGTTGCCAAGTTGATTCGCATTTACGGAAAATTCCGCACTCGTATACTTTATACATCCCTGTCTACTCGCTTTATGAATCTTTTAAGTTACTTCGAAGTTTCTTCGACCCACCTTGACTTCCCTTGACTCGTATCGTTACAGGTTAAGATCGAGTTTAAATTATCGTAATCGTACGAACCATTCAATGGTAAGATCAAACATCCTAACTACGTTTTGAATGAACGTTATTTTTCCCACGTAGCGACGGCATTTCGACGGGCTAATATGTCAGATTCCAATTAATAACACAACGTGTGCGATGATAACGTCTAATAGCAGTCATTAAAATGTCAATAAAAATGTCCATCGGTTCTTTTTACGTCGGGACGATCATAGTTCGCGTACGATTGACGTAGTAGTGCAAGCGACGTACATATATATTTTTAGGTTCCAAGTCTGTATTTGCTGCCGAAAAAACTCATTATTTTAACCGGAAGATTGAGATTCTTTTTTTTTCAAATTATTTATTCAATTCTTAATATGCGCTCAGTCACTAATCGACGACCTATTATCTGTTCAACTCGTGGCAATTCCATCACGTGAGTCAACGACTCGTATAGCTACATGAAAACAACCTATCCCGGTAGAATTCCAGTTTTTAATGCGGACGTCAAATGGATTCACGAGCGTTACGCGTTCTTCATTAGAAATTCTGATTAGCGAAACATTCGCTATATTATCATGTTCATTTTAATTCGATCAAAAAACCAAATCTCATTGTTGCACTGTCATCTTTCGTAATTTTTATGTCGTATTAAGCTCAAGTCATACAACTCAAATAATATTCACACATCACTACACTATTCAGTATCAACACCATTAGGACGCTACAATGTCATTACAGTTCAGTACAATTTCGTTGGTAAAAATATTAATTTAAATATTAAAAAATTACTAAATATCGCAGATTTAATGCCGGACACGCATAATGTTACACGAACGTTAGGGCACTGAGACGAAAACTGAAATGCGGGAACAGTCCTACTTCGATCCGTGAAATAATTGTATAGATTAGTGTTCGGTACGGATACAATACTGATACGTGTGAATCGGCCTTTAAGCGTTCTTAAATTTCCACTTTGAGCAATCCGATATGATATTATCAACGGTTGAGCAATTCGATAATAACTAACCTTTAGCGACGGTTCTTATTTCGAGAATACACGGAAGTCATTTTCTATTATCTATAGTTCTATCAATTATTTCATTTCTACGGCCGTACTTTCCCTCCTGATATCAGTTATGGATATTCTACAAACGTTATTTATAGGGTAGTCTGACTTACCATTTTCCTATTATAGTACGACGTATTAACATAATATATACTGCTGTTTTATTATTAGACTTTTATGCCTGGGGTCTATATCTACCTTGAATGGTAAGAGCAAAGGTACGTGACTGCCAAACGGCTGTTTTTCGTGTCCGAAGAATTCTGGACTCCCTGACGTTTCATTGTTCACTGAAACTTCTGCTCATACGAATGTTACAAATAACGAAGGAAAACGTGCGTCGAGCTTTCTTGAAATGGTCGAGGATGATCGCCAGTGGCCTTGGCCTACTGGATCACCCACTTTGTACCGACATATACGGCGAGCACATTCAAAACGTATCGGCAAATTGCACAACGCGACGTAACGCTGGCTTCTGTCGTGCGTTACGCATAGATGGAACGACGCTCGTTTATTATTGTGCTAACTATGCGCCATCTAGCGCGCCATTATTGTTTTATAATCTTCATCGTGTGTACGAACCTTTATATGGATAGCGTATATATATATATATATATATATATAATATTTTGCATAATATAATATAGTTAGGACGCGACAAGTCAAATTTCGTGGTTAAGTAATGAAATCGAATACTGATGTAACATACCGACTATTTTATGTATATTATATAATATTTTGCATAATATAATATAGTTACGACGCTCGTTTATTATTGTGCTAACTATGCGCCATCTAGCGCGCCATTATTGTTTTATAATCTTCATCGTGTGTACGAACCTTTATATGGATAGCGTATATATATATATATATATATATATAATATTTTGCATAATATAATATAGTTAGGACGCGACAAGTCAAATTTCGTGGTTAAGTAATGAAATCGAATACTGATGTAACATACCGACTATTTTATGTATATTATATGATATGAACTTTATGAAATATTTTATTCATGAAACAGTCGGACTAAAAATACACACACACATATATAAATATACACTTTCACCGTAGATTAATTACTATATTTTGTTTTTCTAAAGAGGGCAAAGGAAGAGGCGTAGGAAACTTTTTTGTAAATTTTCAAAGAAACAAAATCCCTTGAGGAGGCCCAATTATGGATTACCAAAATCCAACCGTACGATAGCATTGATAGCCAGAGGGTTATTTATTTTCTTTCTATTCCAGTATGAGAAATGGAGAAAAGCGTCGATCGGGATTATGTTATGTTTGTCCCGATACGTTTGAAGAATGCCAGAAAACTAATAAGATTGCAAAAGGTTCCTCGAATGGCTCTTTATCCGATTGTTTTGATTTCTCAATTCTTCGGGCATTTCGAATTACCCAATGCACGTCATATTGTCGATATAGGTGGCATCACGGCGCCTCGATCACTCATTACTGTAAATATTTATCTTGCTAATATGAATTGTTGACTATCGGTGCATACCTTTTAGTACTGTCTAGTATGGACAGGCTGCTGGTCGTAGTTCTCTGGACTTTTGAAGAATTCACAGCGGAAGTAATGGAAGCCGACGTGATGAAAATATTTAAAGAGCGTTCACCTACAGTCGTCGATTCTCCTCGATGGTCAATTCTCAATTTTGAAATCTTTAGCTTCTAAGACAGAACGGAATCCGTTGACGAATAGTGTTTATGAGTTGGCGCCTTTAGGCGTTCCTTACTAATTAACCTTAAATTCTGTTATCGGGCGTTCTCGTTACCAACGCCCTTGTCACTATTGCTTTGATCATCGTTATCCTAAAATTGTCTTTTAGGTGAAAACGCCAGAGACCGTTTCGACGTTTCTGGCCTGAGCTCATAAAGTTCCTTTCGTAGATGTGACCTCAATTTAACGACATGAAGCTATTGCTGATGAATCGTACATTTCTTTCCAGACGGCAGACTGGATTTGCTTTTACTAAGCCACGATATAGGTATACGGGACGTCGACGTCGGCATCTTTTCCCTTGTCTTTAATGCGACTGAAAGTGGCAAGGACGCGACGTAGTGACTATTGCGTAAATTATTTCAACGTTTGCTGCTCGGTAATATAAGTTCTTGCGCAAAATTGAACTCGCACAAGAAAGGTTGACGTCTGCATATATATGTATGTATATATATATATAAATACCACGGAGTTTTGCGAATAGGAATTTTGGAGCGTTCCTGTCGGAATCAAATTTTCATGGCAATTCTGATATCAATGAAACATTCCAATCGATGGAATTTCAAAATAGCGAAAGAATGTTATTATTTTACATATAAAAACCGGTATTGAACCTTGTACATGGGATACACTTGATTTGAATTTTATTACGATTATGGGTTTGTTATCAAAATTATAGGAATAAATAATTAAGACCTTCGAAATAATGTCGATTTCGAGATATTCAATGGTTTTGCGACAACAAATATATACTTCGATGTTTTTGCGTTCTTCTGTACATTTGGAATTTTCCTCCTAAGATTTCATCGCAGACCGAGTAACCGAGCAATACTTAAATTTCGAGGACGTTCGAGAATGGACAAGTCCAAGGTGCGAGGAGTCCCATGGATTTATGTATCTCGTTAAGACGACTTCCTTAATATTCATGGCTTATAAATCCACAATTGAAATAAAAAGAGATATATCCGAATAACTTAGGTTAATCGTCGTCGGCTTACTCGTTGATCGTATTCTCTGATCTTTAGGCTCGTTTCTATGCTCGGAAAGACGTCCCGGAGCACGCGACTCGCGCAACAAACAAAACTCGAGAGTCGCTCGAGCTTGAAGATGCGCGAGCCCATAAACGATGAAGGTCTCACTATGGAGAAATGTTTGCAGCTATACCTGATCAGCATACAGAAGCACCTCGTATACACACTGCCAAGGAGAGAGACAGAGAGAAAGAGAGACAGAGAGAAAGAGAGAGAGAGAGAGAAAAAGAAGCAACTAATATCTAACTTTGAAACAGTGCCGATCGTCTTCAAACAACGTATCTACACTTCTTCCTGCGCCATATTGTATTCTCTGTATCCTCTAACCGCATTCAAACTTATAAATACGCACGCGTAGACGTCAGAAGACCCGAGATTTTTCGAGAAAAATAAGAGACCGATACATGGCATCGAGCCCAGGCTTTGCTTTGTCGAACTGACCGAATTATTTCATTAAAAACTCCACGCGTAATTCTTAGGCGGTCTAGGTTTATATCTACGGGTCGCCGTATGAAATTAGCGTCAATGCGCATGCGCGTTGCTAGCGCGAGTGTCTGACGAGGTTTGAATCGAAAGAAATTATTACATCGCCATCATTAAGTTATATATCATGAAGGTAAGTCGTCGACCGCACTTTTGACCTGCGAAATATATTCGTGTGACAACGTGACACTTGATGATCTATTCGAATCAGAAATGCAGTCGACTCTCTGTATAATCGTGCACCTGGGGCTTCCAGAGGCGATAGCCATCGAGAGAGAGAGGGCGATAGTACGGAGATCCGCCACTCCGTCGATATCACAGTGGCGTGACGGTCGATCGGCGCTACTAGGTTAATCAGCACGAGCTGAGTTCACGCATGTCGTGTTTTACCGCGTGTGCTGAAAGTCGTAGAAGAGTGGGACAAACCTTTTCCTCTTGATGCGACGGTTTAGAAAGAGAGCTGAGTGGAAATCAGACTATACGAAGTGCGTTTACAGGGAGGAGTCGACTGTACTATTTTTTTGGCCATTGTACTGTAAGAAATATAAGTGCGCTCGAGGGTTAATGACATTCTGCTTGTCATGTTTATTCGGTTTCATGATTTTGATAATGACTTCATTTAAAATATATATGTAGTGAATCGACCAGCTATTTATCTAATGTAAACAAATTTATTCGTATTTATGTAAACGATGAAATTTTGTCGCTTTCGAGTAAAGTTCGAGTGTAATATTTTTTTGCATTTTTGCATACGTAAATATCGTTAACATTTTTGCACTCTCCGAGCATCAATTCTGCTGTACATTAATTAATGCACGAGTGCGGACGTTTGCCGTTTCCTGCTTAATGCCGAACAGATGCTTTCGCGACGATACGTCACTCTTGTGTACCTATGGATCACGCACGTTATTCCAATCATAATTATTCTACTTTCCACTGAAAAAAAAGCGGTTAACTCAAGATTTTACGTCACGGAAGCAGTACGCAAAATGATACCTCAAAGTCAGTCGGTACGGACGTCACGTAATATTATGGTAATATAAAGAACACTGGAAATTACGAAAATATGCATTATACATAGACCGAAGTATTTGATTCTATTAAAAAAAAAAAAAACTAAACAAATACCGCCAATGATGTAGTACATACGAACAATGTGATATAAATTAAGGAACGAGATTCAAAATCAAAAATTCACACATCTTTGACACACTACACTTAATAACTTTTGTTAAACATTTGATGAAAATTGATATTAAAGTTATGAACGTGCTTAGATTACAGTGAGCACGGAAAACAAATGCACGTAGTACAGTTGCCCCTGTTGAATGGCAACCGGCAAAGCGTACGCGTCAACGACATTAAACAGAAGTCTGCAGCCAGGGAAGACGGTATAAGCGCAACCGGTACGATTAGACCAACGAGGGGAGCATGCAAATCGGCCAGAATAAAATTTAGAAACAGCTGGACAGACAAAGCAAACACATGCAAATACATACCTATAAAAGGATAAACGATATATGTGTATGAAGCAAATAAAATAATATAACAAAGAAGACATCTGTAAAATTAAAAATAATCAATGACCAATAATGTCACGTGGTGATACATACAAAGCGAGCCTGGGCGTTCATAGGTTTGTAGATTAATATATACACTCAATATACAATATTTAAACATATATACACACAAGTTCGTATTCGATCAGCAGATTTAGAAGACTTACCCGTAAAACCAAGGATTCACCTGTTGCTCCTGCCCGGGAAAGTCAGCATGTAAAACAATGCTCGTTAATGTCACTAGCCGACGACAAGTTCACTGGTAGAAAGATAGAGAGAAAAATAACAAAAATAGGGAAACTTAAAAGGTTCACAAGTTTACATACACTGTACTCACTGTATCCTTTAACATCAAACAAATACACTAATCCATGTCACGTGTTTCTTTACCTGCCTCATATGCATTCGGCTCTCCAATCAACTCAACCAATATACAACTTGCACAGCATGCGTATACACTATATATATATATATATACAGGGTTATTCAGTAGAAACGTACCATCTGAAGTTGGCGCGCCCATTTGAGTCCTATGATAAACCCATATTGAGGTTTTACATTTGGGCTGAATAACCTGGTGTATATATATATATATATATATATCTTAAACCGTAGCTATCGTAATTTCGCACGCCGGTTCACGTTTTCCGGCAGGTAGCATACCTGTGTTCGAGTTAAAAATATCTAGGAACGGGCGAAGCTACGGATGTCGGTATACGTGTTCTTACTTGGCACTGATCTTACGTATGCTCTTTGATGCCGGTTCCGTATCATCAAGGCACGTGGTTCGTAGTACATTGCACGACCGGGACTTTGTTCTACTCGACGCAGAGTATCGCGTGACTCCGCTCGCCGTTCTGCCACCCTATTCTACTTCGTCAGTCTTTACTTTCTGTCTTTGCCTCTGTCGCCTCTTGAAATCATCCCACACTAACTCTCTTATCACCCCCTTGTCCTCATTCTCTACCTTAAATCTTCCTCCTACCCCGTCACTCTCTTACCCTGTCTCTTGTCGTAGACGCCTCTAGATAGACGGGTATCTATGCTATTCTATTTCCCTGCACGGCTCAACTGTGAACGCGCGCGCGTCGCACGTCGCGCACAGCACTGGAAACGCAACCCAGATAGTTACGACAGAGTTGCGTAATCCGATGCGTCATGTGCTCGGTTTTGTCCCCATACAGTTTCGAGGGCGGGAACAATTTGAATCAACCGTTTGGAAATTCTGTGCTTCAGGCAGTGGTATATTTTTTGAGGTTATGGAAAATGGGATGAACGGTCGTGACGTTTGTTTTGGAAATTTATATATATTCTTTTAATTCATACCAGAAGTTAAAATTGTCTCGAGAAATATACGATTAGAGATTTTAAGAGGATATGTGTCTAAGGATATTGGAAATAGAAACAAAAATTTTTAATTGTCGAACGACAAATTTCTAGTGGCTGTTTAATTGTTATTCAAAGTGTCTACTTCATCCTGCTCGATTGACACTGATTGTGGGAAGATCGCTTGACTGGGTATGAGAACGCTAGTTATCGTTCGCCGTGACGAGACGAAGGTAAGTAAACACAGACAGCAGGGAGTTAGTCGTGTCAAGAGTAAACAGACGTACCTGAGTTGTTGAACGTACGGAAAACTTCTCTTCGTTCTGCGATCTTCAATCGTCACTTTGGTCTTCTTACGTCATTTAACCTCTTCTGTCTGGTTGATTTTTATTCACTTTTTTAACGCAGTATCCGGCGTCTGGTTCACTTTGACAAATTTTTAGCTCACATACCTTTGACGGTAGTCGACTTCCAATACATTTTTGGTACTACATAATTTTTTCTTGTTGCAATTTTTTTATAATTGTTCACTCATATTTCACTTGAGTACTTGACTCGAGTCTAAAAGTCAGCACTAAAGATATGCACCTTTTCACGTTAAATAGACTAGTAGTATACGACGGATTATTTGGAAAGCCAGACTTCTCATTGGTCAGATTTGGTCACAACGAAAAAGTTATTCGTCAGAATGGTCACATGATGACCGATTCCGACCAATGAGGGTTCTGGCTCTCTCTCTGGCTCTCTTTTGTACGACTAGTCCGTTCGACGAGGGATTACACCTTAAAACGTGTGTCACTTTAATATAAACTCTCAATGCGAGCCAAAGAGATGCGCAGGTTTAATAAGACTTGTAAATAATGGAGATATTTTATACGTGAGCCGAAGTCTGTGAAGTATTAAGTGGAAAGACTTTGTCTTGAGAGTTTGGTTAAATGATTTAATACGAAATCATATAATACTGAATAGCGTACGTATCATAACTGTTCAGTGAATTATCCGTCTGGACTTTTTAGATTCATGATTAGATAACACACTTGCACTACTTCGAAAACAATTTATGATGTATTCGCCTCGAGCGATTGAGGTTCATTTTTTATAGACAATTCATCGGACTATTCTAAAGGCGACGAAGATAAATATTTGGACGACAGTCAGGAGACTTTTCCAATCGAGTGTATGTCTATGAAGGCGGTACTGTCAAAATTAATACAGTTTGGATATATCTGATATTAGTTATATTTATATAATCACGATAATCTGGTTTTTACTTGGGTTTACGTCGTCGATTATATTTTATCAATCTATTACATCGATACGCCATGATAAAATGGATCGCCCGAAAACTCATCATCAAAACGTCTGATACGATCGAATCAGCTTTCTTAAACAGTACTTGTAAAATAATTTTAGAATATACGTTTTATCTGGGCCATAATTAATGAATTATCAATTATTCAAATTAGCGGGCCAAAACAATTGTGTTTCTACCTTAGGTGTGCTGTAAGTCCCTCTCGCCCCTGTGCTGTAAGTTAAATTGGTTAAATTCAATGTTTATTTCAGCCTTATTACTTTCTCATTATTTTTTTGCTAATTACTTCAGTTCACTTATTGGATTTTCATGAGTGACAGTTCTGACCATGGAATCGTCACAATTTACGCATAAGCCAATAGTTCCCCGCACCATTAGCATTAAGCTGACTTGTTGACTGGCTTCTGACACTGAAACTTGGTTACGATGCAGATAATTATGAAAATTATAGTGTCTGACACGGAATTATACACGATTTCAGACTTCGGGTGACGTCAGGCCTCGTTTATGGATGGGGCAGCCAATTTCACCCTATAGTCTGAAAACGTCATGTTTCATCCTTTGTCACACAATATTCTATTTCATGAGGGAGATGTTTATTATGTTACTTTCAAAATTTGTCACCTCTTCGATTTTTCTTTTTCTGTTTGAATGTGACTTTAAATATTTTATTTTAACGACAAACATGGCGATATGTATTTTTCTATACGTTTTAGATCCTCTGATAAAACGGTAGTGATATCTGCTTTTTTTTCTTGAAGTACACTTCTGCAAAGCACTCGAATGATGGTTCGTTCGTCAGTAATCTGTATTTTGGACCTTTGGCCCCACCTGTCTCCGTATGACCACGTAGCTATGTATATCTGCTACGTACGTAACCTATAATGGGCATGGTACTCTAGCGTACTCAAGATACAACATTGCAGACAAAATTCTCGTATGATCTATGCGATGATGATGATTGATAGTATTATCACGAATTATTTCCTAGAATTTTATAATTCAATAATCACACAATCGCGATGGCCGATAGTCACCAATTGTGATTTCTGTAATGTTTATTTATTTGTGATGACCAGCAAAAATATAATAGCGTTTTTAATTGCCTGATTTATTGCAGCACTGGGTATAAGGTACAATATCTTCCCTGTGTTCGATTGGCAATCATTGAAAATTTTCGTGAAATTTATGTTTAATTATGAAAATAATTCGTGAAAATTATGTTTAATTCAAATTTTATATGTGCATTAAATTGCACCAGACTACGATCGGACTTACCTACTGAGTACATCCTATTGACACTTCTGGTGCAGCGTTTGCGCGTAACAGTTTTAAGTCTGACACCCAGTGCGAGAAATTTCGACTAATTGAAAACGCTGTAAACTGTTACCAGAAAGATGAAGTCAATTCGATTATTCATTAGTCGATAAACAAAATCTCTTTTTTACCTTCGTAAGATATCGTCATTGCTACTCGACTGAATTGTTTACCACTTGAAATATATTTTGCGAGTAAAATTCAAAGTGATGACGCATAACAGTTCGTATATGGCGATAATGCGTAATGCGAATTTATGTTTTATGCGCAATTGGTTAACAGGATTTCAAGAAGTGTTATTTTGTAGAAAATGATTGCAACGAGGCGTTTGGACCTTTGGACATTACGTCAGAGACCCATGCTTGGTGATGATCAACAGAAATTGAGAATCGATACTCGGGGTAATGGATATGAGTTACGTGTGCTATTGTAACAGAATATATGTTTATATGAAAATTAAAAAATTTTAAAACACGACTCTTAGTGAAGACTTGAGAAATTCAGAAATTACATCACGATAAGGAAGAATAGGAAAAAAGAAAAAAAACCAGAACGTAGAAAAATGATATTGCGACAAAGAAATGTTCTCACAGATTTTTTTATTTCTTTTTTTTTTCGGTGTAATTCTCCCCAATTATGTACAAAAATATAATGAGAATTAATAATTATTACAGAGTTTAACATTAGGTACATGACGATGCGTGTTTTCACTTTTTTTTTTAAATTCTCCTTCAACTTCATAAGTCGCTTCTTCAATTTCACTCAAAATCTTGTCCTTTGTTTGTCTCGCTGTTCTTCTAATATAATAGCAATAATTATTCATCATAATCATTATATACAAAGAGGCATCGACTATCTAAGAGGGAATGAAGTGGGTGGCTGCTGGGTGGCTAGATGGGTCGGCTATATTGAATTATTAATTATCAGATGTTAATCCCAAAAATTCAATTAGCACAGTTCATGGGTTCCTCGCGAGTCAGTGATTCAGAAATTATTTTCCTTCTAGAAGCCTGTATATGATTCCCATTAATTTTCAGATTTAATCGATCAATTTAGGAATCTTATCTCACGACTCATTCTACTTTTATTGTCAATCAGTGTCAATGGACACGAATCGATCACTTCCATGGAAACAATGCATAATTTCAATTGACTAACGTGATACAAAGCAGGACTATCGTTGGTCCCATAACGGAATGTGCCTACGTCAACAACAGCGTCGTCTTTATGAATGTGCATACAGATAGAAAAGAAAAAGAATGAAATAAAAATAAATGTTTTATATCCACCACGCTGATTAAGATATTCGATTAATAAATAACCAGATGAAATCATACTATGAGAAACAAATTGGTTGTCGTTGTTAATTATAAAAAATAACCGTCCCATCGGCTGATACGTGAATCGGCATAGCCATTATCATCACCACCATCACACACTTTGACTATTTAGCAGCTACCACCGTAACTACCATCACCATTTTCACCAGCGTCCATCGAACACTTTTTTTTAGCGAATCAAGAAAAAATTAGCATTCAAAGGACGTGAACGAATAACTAACGAGAAAATATAACCGAGAGAGAATGAGCGTGACGTTGATAATTAGCGATAACAGATAATGAATGATGAACAAGAGTATGAACGAGCTTAGAGAATGATTAAAGAATATATCGTGTTAAGTATGACATACGAAGAATGACTTCTCTCGGTACCATTTTTCATTTCGATTCCGATTCACCTCACTTGACTTAACTCTCCTCGCGAGGAGAGAGACGTTAAAAAATATATATATAATGATAATAAAGAAGTTTGCTCAGTGTTCGATGAAAACAACAATTTCATTACATACATTCCTACCTAGTAGAAAATTAATAACAAAAGCCTTAATTAACTAAACTCGAGGGGGTGGTTCGATTGGGCTTTATACTTTGTACACGAGTTTAAGGTTAAGTAATTAATCTCGTGCTGAGTCACCGGATTCGCTGGTAATGAAACATGAGACAGTGGCAAGGAATCCATTTTGTTTTAATAACAGCAACTTTCTTAGACTTTATCCATTGCCTGTGCCCATGCGCGTCTACCAACGATTCACGGTTACCCAAAATTTATCTAATGGTTTTTCTTTCCTTTCGAATCTCGACCCGCTCCCTTCCTAATGGCTGTCCGATCAGACATTCCACAAACGGATTCGTATTTAACAATGAAGTTATCGCGCGGATGATTGATTCGTGTTTTGTTCAGTCGCTCGAAAATTCCGTTAAAAAAGTCCTACGAGATTACAAGTTGCGTTTATCTGTCGGCTCCGGGTCGAGCCACATAGAATCCAATAGAGTAGACGAAAACCCCCGAGCAAAAGGACTCGGTTATTTTCTCGCTTTATCGTACAAAAGATTTATAGAAAAAGGTCCTCCCGTTCGCGTTGGTAAAGATCGACGCGTTACAATGAATTTCCATCGTGAACTTCAGACCCAGACAAACTTTTGACATTGGTCTTGGTAGAAAAGAAAAAAAAAAAGAGGAAAAAAGGCTCCAAGTGAATAAGGCGCGTTTCAATAACAACTAATTCCATTTGGCCTTGTGACATAAACTGTTTGAGAGAAACAAAAAGGGGAATCCTTCCAAAAGGAAGTGAAGAGGAGAATGGCGAGTAAGAATTAATCGCCATCCTCCAGGTAAGTGCGTCTATTTGTTCGTGCGCGGACGTGCTATGCAAATATGGTATAAGATTCGCATGATTTTTGTATATGATCGAATTACAATGATGATTAACGATGCTAACAATGACGTTTAAGCGATATGAAGGCTAACGAGAAGAATCAGACGAGACTGATAATTCTCTTGATATCTTCGAATCGGCTTTGAAGTTAAAAGGATTAAAATAATTAAAAAAAGAAAAGATACATTAAAAAGTAAAATGACGTAACGAAAACACAAGGTTTCAATATGGATCTTTGCGATCGCACCACCCACTGAGCCATCCACCCTGACAGAAAACGACCCTTATCTCTATAACGAACACCAAAGCTTTGAACACAATCGGGGCAATGGGAGGATTCGACTCTAGTAAAGTCCACGACGTCGTTGACAAAGCGTCAGAAGCCAAAGACCACGTCAAGAACCGCGAGCCGAGAGTCAGAAGCCAGGAGTCACGACGTAACTCGGCGTCGGGAGTACGTCTGTGCACCACGTGCCATCGGCCGAGATGCTCGGAAGGAGTCAGGGTCTCTTTGTGGTATGTGCGAATGTACGTGTTATCGGATGTTCACACAGAATCCTATCAAGTCCTCTTGAAGACGTCCATCGAAGATAGCCAAGGGCGGTCCCGGTGAAAATCTGAAGACGATCGTCCATACGTCGGTCCGGTAGATCCTTCGGATCGAGCCGGTGATCACGAGCAGAGAGGACGAAGTAGCGTCTGGATGCTTAACGTCTTCTTCGTAGGCGCCACGACGCCAGGAACAAGTCAGACGCAAGCGGTGAACGCAAATCGGTGATGCGAAATGAAGTGGATTTGTGTCGACGTTTGCGCGATTGTTGGCGCAGACGTT